GTACAGGAGACAGCTGGTTGATGTTTCTCTCTCATCGACATTTCTAGCTCTCTCTCCCTTCCTCTCTATAAAAAATCAATAATATATATCTTTTTAAAAAATGATACACTTTCAGGGTGCTGCCCACAAACCTGTTGGTGGCTTGTGAATTCTGAGCCGTGTAACTGATTCCAAAAGTAAATAAACTGGCATTTGACCAGAAAAAAAAAAAATAAATAAAATAAATAAATAAATAAATACATAAATATAATGATACAGCCCTGGCTGGGGTGGTTTAGTGGTTAGATGTCAGCCCACACCCCTGAGGGTTTGATTCCCAGTCAAGAGCATGTACCTGGGTTGTAGGTTTGAACCCTGGACTGATCGAAAGTATGCATGAGGCAACCAATCAGTTGATGTTTCTCTCTCTTCTTTCTCACTTTCTCCTCCTCTATTCATCTCTTCTACTCTGTTTAAAAAAAAAAAAAAAAAAAAAAGTTACTGTCTGGCTGGGTTGGAGCGCCGCCCAGTACACCAAAAGACTGGGTTTGATTCCTAGTCAGGGCACATACTTAGGTAATGGTTCTATCCCAGTTGGGGCATGTATGAGAGGAAACCAATCATTATTTCTCCTCCCCCCTTCTCCTTTCTTCTCTAAAATCAATAAAAACATATCCTTGGGTGAGGATTTTAAAAAAAATGTTACTAAATAATTCATTTGTACATGGTAGGATTATAAGTCATTTAAAATTTTTTCTTTATTTTCTAAGCCTTTTAAAAATTGGCATGTACCATATTGTACTTATCCTTTGATTATAAAGCAGTAAACATTTTATTCAAAAGGGAAACTCACTTTAAAATAGAATGTGTGGGAGATGGTTAGGGGTGGAAAGTGAAATTCACATATGTGTGTTTTTATAGCATTTTTCTTTATTGAATGTATGAGTGACCAACACTTTCCTGATCTGATGATTTCAGGGATGCCAGTAAAACTGTGAGCAGCCCACCCACCTCCCCAAGACCTGGCAGTGCAGCAACAGCATCTGCATCTACAAGTAATATCATCCCCCCACGACACCAGAAACCTGCAGGGGCTCCGGCAACCAAAAAGAAACAGCAGCAGAAAAAGAAGAAAGGAGGAAAAGGCGGCTGGTGATTAGAACATGCTCGTTGCAGACTATTTTCCAGCTAGTCTTAGTGACACTAGGAACATAATGAAGTAACACAGCAAGAAGCACAGAGCTGCTCCCTCTCCCATCCCCACATTTTCATCAGATTATTTTTTGTGCATCAAAAAGGAAAACATCTTCCTCAGACTTAGCCTACTTGTACCACCAAGCTTTTCACAGATGATGAAGACTCAAAATAATCGGGATTTACCTACCTTGATATCTGTTTCTTTGTGTGCTGATCTGGTGGTGTTTTTTCAGTTTCACAAACAAGGCATGTTATCTAAGGTTTCCTAGGTTATAAACAGAAGTTACTTCTGCTATTTTAACTAGAATCTAAAGACACTTGTTCTTATCTAGTCCCACTTTAAATTATGTCTTAGAAGGTCTTGGGAGACTGAAAGTAGAATCTTCTGAGCATTCCAAATATCTACTTAGAAATATCATGTGATAAAAAGGGACCTTATTAATACACTGGTGTTCTTCACTTCAAGTGGCCATAAGAAAACCAAATGTCTTGATTAATTTTTACCATAAATTCTCTGTTATGTGATACTGGAATATGAGACAATTATATATATTCACATATATGTATGTATATACATACACACATATATACATAGTAATAAAAAGTATGTATGTAAATATGCATATATATACATGCATATAAATTAGGACTCCTTTGTGCCCCCGTATCATTTTTAGATTATAATAACATTGTGCTTATTTAGCACTGTAAAGAACTCAAAAAAAAACATCAATGTTGTAAGAAGCTCACGCTTAAACCCAGTGTTCTCAGGCCAAATGGGTTTGGATGGTCTCAGTCAGATTTAATGTCCCCAATCAAGAGCATGAACATTGACTTCCTGTGTAGAGAAGAAATCAATACCAGAGTTCAGTAGCAGGCAGTATTAAAACTTATCAGTACTCTGTGGCCCAATTAATAAATACTCAGATGGCTCCTTTTTCTAGTTAGGGAAGGGATTATACATTACCCTTCCCAGAGTGATGGAGTATTATACAGTCAGGCCTGCGGTGTCGGTATTGCTCTGGTCTTTCCTTGCTTATAAGCCTCTTTCCCATTGAACGGCTGTGAGACAGATGTCTACTCTGACTAGTATTCATTTTATGCTACCCCAGATAGCATTGAATTTAGATTTAAGACTTATTTCCTTGTGATCGTATTACTCCATCCTTGTCAATAAAGTGCTGCTGTGTTTGACTCTGAACATACTGAAACATCTCCGAAGAGTTTTTTAAAAGGCTTTCCTCCTTTACAAGAGTAAGAAATTTGGTGCTGCCTTTCTGTTTAACATAATCAGAATCTGCAGTGACATCTAAACAAGAGACCAGCTTATATATGAATGATTTATTACAGCATAATACTTTGGAGTTCTCAGAGAATAGTCTTTTGGTAAGAGTGACAGATATTCATTCCTTCTAAATATATGCCCCATTACAAGAATAATTGTTAGTAAATTTGTTATTTAGGATTCCATTAAATTTCTGTGGTGAAGGATAATCACTTTTTGGGTTTAACTAAGCTACGGAATTTTGGTGAAAATTATCTATCATTGAAAATTTTGACACAAAACACAAAGTGAAACTTTACGGGTTCTGTAGCCAGTCTTTGCTATTACCAGTCATTACTAAGCATCTGAAACCTCAGTTCAAAGAAGTTATTGTCAGATTAAGTGTAACATCTACATTAACTTTCTGGTAATTATTTATCTTTTGGGTAGATCTTTTCACCAGTGACATATACACTTTGTATATATGTGTGTGTCTACATTTATAAAAACCAATGTGGATACATCATTCACTGTGGCACATTTTAAAATAAAATATTCTAGCAGTGAGTATGGATTAAGATGTTTTGGGTGTTGGCATTTTATGGAGGACTTCCTGGTTGGTACATCTGAGAGTTTTTTAAGCTGAGTATCTAAAAATCTCAGAATGTTGGCCTGTGGACTGAAGGGTCCTGGGTTCAAGCCTGGTCAAGAGCACATGCCCAGGTTGTGGGTAATCAGTGATTCTCATTGATGTTTCAATCTTTCTCCCTACCCCTTCCTCTCTGAAATCAGTCTATAATAATAAAAGCATAATATGCTAATTAGACTGGACATTATTCCAGATGTCCTTCCTTCCGGACAAAGCTGCAGCGGGCGGGGGCTGCGGCGGAGATGGCAGAGGCCCCTGGCTGCGGGCGGAGGCCAGGGCCAAGGTCCTTGCACGAATTTCGTGCATCCAGCCCCTAGTAAATATGTAAAATAAAAATAAAATTCTCTCCGATCCCTTCCTGCAAAGCCACAAAACTAATCTAATGGGATTGAGAGACCACAGTTTTAACTTCCCTGAAAATCCATCATGTAAGTAATTTGAGGAGCAAACATTTTATTAAGTTATTAAACACAGCATTTTCAAGACTACTTGGACACTTCTAACCTTAAACATAGTTGCATCACTAAAGCCTTCTGGATCCTGCCATTCATTCATTGTTCCTTACAACCTAAATGAAACAGATCTGATAAAAGTCATTTTATTGTGTAAGATAATTTTGTTAGTTTGTGAAATATACAAGGGTCCTATTTAACAAAATAAAAGAACATCCATATAATCAAGAAACATTACACAACCTTTGAAAAGCCCTGTGGGTTTCCTAATTTGGAGCCCAAAAAATTTTTTTCTTTAGTTCCCCCCCCCCCAGAGGGAGGGGGAGAGAGAGAGAGAGACATCAATAACGAGAATCATGGATTAGCTGCCTCCTTTATGGCCCCCTGGGTGGTGTAAGGGGGGTTGGGGGGGGGGGGATTGGGCCCCAAACCAGGACATGTGCCAGTGGCCAGAATGGAACCTGGGACTCTTATTTCTTAAAAATATATATTTTACTGAATTTTTTTTTTTTTTTTTTTTTTTTTTTTTTTTTTACAGAGAGAAAGGGAGAGGGATAGAGAAACATTGACCAGCTGCCTCCTGCACACCCCCTGCCGGGGATATGTCCGCAACCAGGGTACATGCCCTTGACCGGGATGGAACCTGGGACCCCTCAGTCCGCAGACGGAGGCTCTATCCACTGAGCCAAACCGTTTTCGTGGAACGTGAGATTCTAATCAGCAGGCAGACTCTAGCCACTCAGCAAAACCGCCTAGGGCTATACATCTATTTTAATACCCTGCATTCCTAGTAGCTATGATCCTGGCAGACTTAATTTGATCAAGAATTTTGAAAGCAAAATATGAGAATTTGAAATCAGGACCGTTCACGTTCCTGTTTTCCCCTGAGCATCCTGGACAATTTCTAGATACTACCGGTAGTTAAGTTGGCACTGGCGGGAGGGCGAGGAGATGCCTGACTTCACTTTCTAGGCTTGCGAAGACTAACGGGATAGGCGGGGCGTCCTCTGGGGACCCTCAGCGCTCTGACCCCTGGGGTCCTGATGGGAGATCGTGAGCTGGGTGGGCGTGGGGCTGACTCGGGGGAGGTGAGATGCTTCCATCTGGACCGTGTGGAGACGCCCTGCCTGGCGCCCCTCCCGAGGAGTGGCCCCTAGAGACGCCTTTTCCTGCGCTGCCGACCTGCCACGCAGCTCGCAGGCTCCCTCTGTCTGGTCCTGACCCTCCTTCGCCTTCCTCCACCCTCGGGTTTGGCGAATCTGCAGCCCGCAGCCCGGAGGTGGGAGCGGGCAGTGCCAGCTGCCGGCGGGCGGCAGCCCGCAGGCCGCGGGGAGTGCGGGGCGGTCTGCGCCACGTGGATCTACGTGGGGCTACGACTCTGCGCCCTCCCCGCCCCGCAGGGCCACGCCTGCCGAGCCGGGGCAGCTGCACGCAGGAGGGAAGGAAACTGGCTGTGACGATGGAGAGGGGGAAGGTGAAGAAGAAAGACAAGGGAAAAGAGGCGGAAAAAGGAAAGGAGGACAAAGAGAAAAGGAAGGACTCGGAGAAGGAGAAAACGAAGGATAGAGAAAAGGAAAAGGGAAAAGGGAAGGAGGAGAGAAGCAGAAGTAAAGAGGAGGACAAGAAAAAAGAGAGTGGGAGTGACAAAGAGAAAGAACAGCTGAAGGGAAAAGAGGACGACCGCAGAGGCTTAGGAAAGCCCGTGCTGGAGCCGCCGGTAAGAGACACGCCTCGGCCTCTCTCCCCAAGGTCCAGGCCGGAGCGCCAGCTCTGTTACGTCCCAGGCCCCTGCCCGTCGGGAGGGAGCTGGGGCTGCTGCGAGGGCTTTGTGCCCGGGTCAAGCGTCCTCTGCCCCTCCCCTTTGCCCACCCTCTCCCTAATCCCGACCTGCGTCTCCTCAGAATCTAGTGTTGAAGAAGAGACACGGGGAAAGGTCCTTTTGCGGACCCTCCTCTTCCGCTGCTCAGGGCCAGGTCACAGCCCGCCCCCAACACAGACCTTCTCCACACAGAAACCCGCCCTGAGCCTCACTGCGCGCGAGCTCGCTCTCCAAGTTCTTTCGTTGAGTAAGTTCTTTGGCAGAAGGTGCGGGGTTCCTCAGTTCGTGCCCGCTGGGTTTTTGGATTGTTTGGACATTTTCTGTGGGCATTGTGGTTACTGTTTCCATTATTTTCTGTTTTCGGACATCCAGAAGGGATGGTCACAAACGTTTTAACTGAGAAATCTCAGAAGCTAAAAGATAAATACCTATGACTTCACTTATGATTAGAGTTAGAATGTAATGAGAACAGAGTTTATTTTACAAAATGAAGAGAATTCTGGAGATGGATGGCGGTGATGGTTGCACAACATTATGAATGACTGTGTTTCATACCACTTAACTACTACTCTTGGAACTGGTTAAGATGATACATTTTGTTATGTGTGTTTTACCAGTTTAAAATATATATATATATATTTTTTTTTTATTTTTTTTTTTTTACAGAGAGGAAGGGATAGGGAAAAAGAGTTAGAAACATCGATGAGGGAGACATATCGATCAGCTGCTTCATGCACACCTCCTACTAGGGATGTGCCCACAACCAAGATACATGCCCTTGACTGGAATTGAACCTGGGACCCTTCAGTTTGATGCTCTATCCACTGAGCCAAACTGGTCAGGGCTGTATTTTACCACAGTTTTAAGAATTGGGGTGGGGTGTGGAGAGAAAATAAAAGCCAGGCACCATTTGGGTCAGTTTCATGAGCTCTGTGCGCCTGAGCTCCTGGGCTCAGAGCTGCTTCCAGTTCTAAACAATGTAATTATTCATATAGATTTGATCTTTGGTAAAACACAGACTGCATAGATCCATCTGTAATTAAAGGAATAACTTCTGACAAGAAACAGTGGTGTTTGGAATCACATTTTTGTGTCTGAACTATTGCTTTACTATAATCCCAGATTTCCTTAGATTATAAACATAATGAAGCATGTGGTTTAGGTTAAAAAGTAAGCAAAATGTGAAGCATCAGTGCCTGCTGAATTTCTGGATAAGGTGAGTAAACTTAGCGATGTGGTTGGAAAGGGAATAGGAAACTTTTCTCATGACATTTCACGTTATTTTAGGTACCACTGAGAAAGAAAGGGGGGAAAAAAGGTTTCCAACTAAAGTAAGACATACCGTGGATTATAAAATCCTCACTTAAAGATAATAAAATGTGAAACAAAATTTTTATCTTAGAATTGATTAAATACTGAGGTATCCTGAGAGGGCCATTGTGGAGATAATGAGGGAGACACATGCCACACCCTGTATCCATTTCTTGGTGCCACCATTGCTTTAAATGATGCAGTTTTAAACCATCCATTCAAGTCTCCTTTGTACATCAAGTCACTCTTCCTTACCAGTCACTCCCAGAATGACATTATTACTTTTAGATGCAGCCCAACCAGTGTGGCTCAGTGGATGAGCATGGATCTATGAACCAGAAAGTCACCATTGGGCTGGATCCCCTATAGGGGGTGGGCAGGAAGCAGCCAATCAATGATTTTCATCATTGATGTTTCTATCTCTCCCTTCCTCTCTGAAAACAATTTTTAAAAAAATAGATGTAGCCCTAGCTGGTTTGGCTCAGTGGATAGAGTGTTGGTCTGCAGACTGAAGGGTCCCAGGTTCGATTCAGGCCAAGAGCACATGCCTGGGTTATGGCCTCTATCCCCAGTGGGGGCCATGCAGGAGGCAGCCAATCAAGACAGCCAATGATTCTGTCTTATCATTGATGTTCTCTCTCTCTCTCTCTCTCTCTCTCTCTCTCTCTCTCTCTCTCTCTCTCTCTCTCTGTCTCTCTCTGTCTCTCTCTGTCTCTCTCTCTCTTTCTCTCTCTGAAATCAATAAAGAAATATATTTTTAAAAATAGGTAAGATGGAGAGAGGAAACACCTATGGAAATACCATTTGCTTTAAAACCATCAAGAATTTATTCTAAAAACAAACATGCACCTTTTCAAATTCTGTTATTTGGTAGATAGTCTTCACAAAGCATGCTTTCTACACAAGTCTAAATTAGAGCAGACCTTAAAATATCCTACTTGCACATGAATCTTATTATAAAGTAAAATAAAAGAGGTGGGATAGTGGGATAGACATTCTAGTGCTGTTGGGGATCTTTTTTTTTTTTTTTCTTTTTTAACCTGAAATCTAGTCTAAATCTAATATCAACATTTAGTGTTCAATGTATAAGATTACTGTTATTTTTAAAACAGTGGCATTTAAGACATTTACTGGTGGGATTTTTGTTTATTTTTTTGTGCATGAGAAACTTCTTTAGTAGGCTGTTTGGGAAATAGAATTAGTTTTCTGTGAGCAGTCTGGCTGAATTGTTGCTCATTTATTACTATTCACATTGAAATGTGTATCCTAAAAGTCACCTTTCTGAGCACTCTGACCTTTCTATTTCTTTCTTCATACCAGCTTGCCCTTGTTGTCCCTCAATCATTTATCATAAAAATTTCTAAGGCAGTTATGTTGATGGAATGTTTCCAAAGTTTACATCTATTTCAAGAGGTTTTAACATCAGGCTCTCTATATATGCTCATTTGTCAATGGAACTGATTTAGCACCTTCTATAATCCTAGCCTTTCTTTAATCATGATGCTTATATTTAAAAGTATTATATTAGAGGGGAACCTCGCCTTAGGAGCTTTTAATCTAATGATCCAATTGGAAGGACGAGACAGATCAATGAGACCTTAGATGTTTATATGCTGGGTGGCACAGTTAATACTGGAGGCACCATGGAGGTACCAAGATCCCAAACAGCAATGATATATATATATATATATATCTGGCTGTGTTCAACACTGGACACAGCCAGATGGAGTTCCTGGAGAGTAAGCCCCCTTTCTCACTAGTTGCAGGATAGCTCCTTTGTTATCCTGTAAGCAGGGTATAATATTATATATATATATATATATTGAGTGGCCAGATTATTATGATCACCTGACATTTGTAGGCAAATTAGCCATACACTGCATCATATGGGATATGGAAGCCAAAGGCCTGTTCGAACACCTTTGCTGTCTGCAGTTACCGAGATAAAACATCTCCAATTCGTACAGGAACACAAGGATTGGACAGTCGAGCATTGGAAAAAGTCATGTGGCCTGATGAATCACGTTTCCAGTTGCATCATGCAGATGGCAGAGTGAGAATTTCGCAGAAAAAGCATGAAAGCATGCACCCCACATGCATGAGTAAAACCCTTCAAACTGGTGGAGGCAGTGTTATGGTTTGGGGCATGTTTTCCTGGCATGATTTGGGTCCTTTAGTTTATGTGGAACAACACAACATACCTAAGTCTGAATAGCACAACATACCTAAGTATCATTGCTGATCAAGTTCATCCTATCATGTTGATGGTGTATCCCAATGGAGATGGCTTCTTCCAATAAGACAATGTGCCATGCCACGGTGCTCATATTGTGCAGGAGTGGTTTCAAGAACATGAGGGAGACTATATCTTGCTTAGGTGGTCCCCACAATCACCAGATCTCAATCCTATTGTGCATTTGTGGGACGAAGTTAAAAAGGCCATCAGGCAGCTGGTTCCACAACCATCAAATCTCACAGAACTGGACAGTGCTATTCATCAGGCATGGTGTCAGGTTCCTCACATCACCTTCCAACATCTCGTGGAGTCAATGCCAAGAAGAATCGCCGCAGTATTGAAGGCAAAAGGTGGCCCAATGAAGTCCTGATGGGGTGGACATAATAATCTGGCCACTCAGTGTATATAGTATTTATTTAATAGGTTGACCAGGAGCTGGAGAATGGAGATGAAATATGCAATTAACACCACACAACTAATGGCTAATTATAAAATATAAACTGGTACAGTTATTAAATATTTTGTGAAGTTTCATGCTGGTTTACAATCCCACAAGTATTACTGGGTCCTACCACAGGCAGGCATTCTGCCAGGGGGCAGGAAAACAAGGCCCTGACAGCATAGGTTTATTGACTTATCCTTTGTTTCACAGGAGAAAAATAATTATATCCTAGTGTTGGGCCTCGATGGAGCGGGAAAGACCAGTGTTCTCTACTCTCTAGCTTTAAACAGAGTCCAGCACAGCGAGGCACCCACCCAAGGTTTCCATGAAGTGTGCATCAACACTGAACACAGCCAGATGGAGTTCCTGGAGAGTAAGCCCCCTTTCTCACTAGTTACAGGATAGCTCCTTTGTTATCCTGTAAGCAGGGTATAATATTATCAACATTGGGTCCTTGTGAAAAATAATACTGGGTCAGGTTTTCCTAGAGACTTAGAAAGCATTTGTAGTTTAATACTAGAGTGCCCTCTGAGGGAAATCACTTTCTGCTCTTTTTGTTATCTCCTTTTTACAGTGGCGGTGACAAAGGGCAGTTGAGAGGAAGGCTTTATACCCCTTCAACAGCAGCCTCCCTCCTCCCTTGTTACCCCAAGTACACAGGCAATTTAAGTAACTATAGTGTGCTTCCTTCTCTACAGCCCCAACTACAGACAAACCCCAAACCTCTTCTTGTATACAGATGGCAGCCCAGAAGCCCCTGCTCTATAGTCTTCTGGAGTCCCCTCCGCTCTAAATACTGCTGTTCCCAGAGTTTCGTCAGGTGCTCTTCTCTCCACATCCTTTCCTTGGTTGATTTCGTCCATCCTCTGATGACTCCCAGATTTTTAAAAAATATATATTTTATTGATTTTCCACAGAGAGGAAGGGAGAGGGATAGAGAGCTAGAAACATCAATGAGAAAGAAACATTGACCAGCCGCCTCCTGCACATCCCCTTCCGGGGATGTGCCAGCAACTCATGTACATGCCCTTGACTGGAATCGAACCTGGGACCTTTCAGTCCGCAGACTGACGCTCTATCCACTGAGCCAAACTGGTTTCAGCGACTCCCAGATTTATCTGTTCACCCCAAACATATTCAAATGTCACCTGGCATTCCACCTGGCTGTCTCATTGCCCTCTCAAATCTAGCATCAATGCAAAATGCTTGAGTTATCTCCCTATCTGTTCCTATTCTTATAATCCACTGGCTAGGACCCATCAAGTTGTTCAAGACAGAAAACCCGGAGTCACCCTTGTTTGCTTCTTCTGTACCCCACCCCCAGTAAAACACTATTTACAACAAATCTCACATTCATCAGTTGTAGCCTTTCCTACTAGGTACCCTTATTTGAGTTGGAACCTCTATTATAGCCTACTTAGATGACTGCAGTTACCTTTTTGATTTTGCTATCATTCAGATACAAAGAGAAAATGAGCAGAGAAATCGATACACCTGTAAGCAAATCTTTAAGAAAAAAAGCATGATATTTGGAATAGAGGTTTCAACTTGCCCAGAAGCTATAGAAGAAATAATTATTTTGACCAATAGATAGCTTAAAAAATAGTTTCAAAATATTAAAATGAAAAGGAAGGAATAAAGGAAGTGGAGGAAGAACCCAACTAGGGGGAGAAATGGATAGGTCTATAATTGGAATGAGGGATTTCAACATATATGTCAATTTTTCATAGCATCAAGGAGAGAAAAATCTGCAAAGATGCACAAACTTGGAACTTAATCAACAAGTTTGATCTATTGGACAATATAAAATTGTCTAATTAGTATAATTTACTTATACACAAAAGCTAAAATACACATTCTCAAATGCTCATGGAACTTTTATCACAATTGACCACTCACTGGGGTGTACAGCAAGTCTTAGCATATTTCCAAGGAACAGGCACCATCAAAACATGTTCTCTGACTGTGCTGCAGTTAAATTGGAAGTTAATAACTGAAATAAAAATCCCTACATAGGTAAAACGTCAGGTATCGGGAAAGAAATGAACACAAATATTCATTCTTGTTTAAACTAATATATTTAAATCATGTGAACAACTTAGAAACTTATACAACATCCTTTAAAAATTAAAACCACTTCAAAGACTCACTCAATACAAAGGAAAATAATGGAATATAAAGACCCTTTCCCATTAGTATGGTAAATGTTTTTATTGATTCCTAAAACAGCGGTCTGCAAACTTTTTCTATAAAAGGCCGAATAGTGAATAGTTTAGGCCTCATGGGCCACCTGGTCTCTGTGGCCACTACTCAACTCTGAGGTTCTAGTGGGAAAGCAGCCACAGACATTGTGGAATTAAATCCACGTGTTGGTTCTAAAAAAGCTGTATTTGTAGACACTGACATATAAATGTGGTATAATGTCCACATGTCATGAAATAGTATTCTTTCTTTTTCTTTCAAATGTTTAAAACTGTAAAATTTCCCAGCTGGCATGGCTCGGTGGTTGAGCATCAACCTATGAACCAGGAAGTGACAGTTCAATTCCCTGTCAGGGGACATGCCTGGGTTGCAGGCTTGATCCCCAATGTGGGGTGTGCCGAAGGCAGCCGATCAATGATTCTCTCTCATCATTGATGTTTCTATCTCTCTCTGTGTCTCCCTTCCTATCTGAAATTAATAAAAATATATTTCAAAATTTAAAAAAATAAAACTATAAAAATCCATTCTTTCTTTGTGGGCTGTACAAAAATAGACAGTGGGCCAGATTTAGACTGTGGGCCATAGTTTGCCAACCCCTGTCCTAGGAGAAAAATAAAAACTAAATTCATTGTGTATATAATACTGTCATTAACCAAAAAGTTTCTTCTGAGAAGAATCAGTAAAATGAAATAATCCAAAGGCACTTTTTTTCATAGGCAAGTATAATATTATTGAATGCCCACAGGATTATATTAACTCTCAGTACAAAATTAAGAAGAAAAATTCTGAGATTTTGGCTAAGGAAAACATTGTACAGGTGAAGCTACCCAATGAATTCAGTCCACTTAAAAATTATTTTAGAGAAATGTGTTTTAATCCATCATCCTGAATTATTTTAGTAGCTATTCCCATTTTTTTTTAAAAAAATTTTAATAACTATAACTGATGGACATGCAGGGATTGCCATGGCGGCTATGTAAAATAGCAGGAGGGATCCACTGTAGTATTTAGTATTCCATGCTGAACCTTCATGTTCCAGAATGACTAATTCACTTGTGGAGGTAAATATCTCCACCCACTCCTTCCCCAGTGACGTCTCTCTGGTGGTTCTCAAGCGATATACTCTAACCCAGTGGCAGTAGGACCCCTGCACAGTGTTCAGAAGTTATGTGACTGTGCCTTTCCCACCCCCCTCGGAGAACGTGACTGTGATTTTTTGTGTCTTCTTCCCCCGTTCTTCTTTGTAGTTGGTGGTAGTGAACCTTTCCGGTCCTATTGGGACATGTATGTGTCCAGGGGATTGCTGCTTATCTTTGTGGTGGACTCAGCAGATCACAACAGGTTACCTGAAGCCAAGAAATACCTTCATCGGCTAATTAAAATAAATCCTATCATCCCTCTGGTTGTATTTGCAAACAAACAGGTAAAAAAAAAAATCTGTGCACATATAATTTGTACTCAATAGCTTTATCATTAACACAAGAAATGGAAATGTCTACTTTGAGCAAGTAAATATTAAACAGTATGCTGTACAGTCAGCTCAATTTAAACTTATTAGGTCTACTGGATTATAAACATCTTGAATGTAAAGACTGATATTCATCTTTGTATCCCACAAATATGTGTTAAATTTAATTCAATAAACATTTGCTGATTATTTATGTCAATGAAATTTTTGTGTCTATCATGTAAAAAGAAATTTAGATTAGATATATCTGAATTTATTTCATACACATACATTAAAATTATTAAACATCCATGGAGAAATGGAATGTTGTATATTGTTGGTGGAAAATAATATGGGAGGTTCCTGAAAAACTTAAATGTATAATTCCCATATGATCCAGCAAGTGAAAAAAATTGAAAGCAGGGACTCAAACGAATATTTGCACACCATGTTCATATCAGAATTATTCCTGATGGGCTTTTACCATTACAAGGAGCCTCTCTTCCATCCAACACCATCCTTCTATTTATTTCCTCTCAAATTCCACCAGTGAATTTCTTAACTTGAGACATCATTCACATGTCACTGGACTCATTAACACTGTTATAAAATCACTGCAGGCCCTAAGACTACATGAATTCAGGAGTCAGACAGGCAATCTGTTGGACAACCGACATCCAGAGAGGTAATCAACTCTAGCCAGATACCAAGGTCAGCACATCAGGAAGACTCATGGATTCCCAATGATGGAATCTGATAGGTTTATATTAGTACAAGAAAAAAACAAAACAAAAAGCACTTTTGAATCATTCCCAGACTTTTATATATATATATTTTACTGTTTTTTTTTTTACAGAGAGGAAGAGAGAGGAATAGAGAGTTAGAAACATCCATGAGAGAGAATCATCAATCAGCTGCTTCTTGCATGCCCCCTACTGGGGCCCGCAACCAAGGTACATGTCCTTGACCAGAATTGAACCTGGCACCTTTCAGTCTGCAGGCCAAAGCTCTATCCATGGAGCCAAACAAGTTTCTGCCATTCCCAAACATTTTTAAATGATCCCCTAAACCTTAGGGAGAACACTATGAAACAACAAAAGCCAGTTACAAATGCAACTTTTAACCTACTGTCTTGTCTTGATTTTAAAGGAGGTTTTGACCATGCCATGCCATGCAGCAGAAGTATGGGTTTTCTGTTTCATTTTAATCTCTTCTCTTTATGCCTCTCTCTCCCTGTGGGTTTCCTTCCTTTAAGCCTTCCCCATCTTACCCTCTTTCTTTCCACCTGTCCTCTTCTCTAGGCCTCTTTCTCCTATCACTTCATTTTCTAAATCCATTTCCTCCCTGCTCCTTTCTCTGTCTCCCTTCACTGCAAAATTTGACCCAATTTTTTTGGTTGAGTAGAAATGATGGTCACAAAAGAAAACTCACAATGGCAAGTGCTATAATTAATAAAATGTGATATGGCCCTAATCAGTTTGGCTAAGTGGATAGAGTGTCAGCCTTCGGACTGAAAGGTCTTGGGTTGATTCTGGTAAAGGACATTTTCCTTGATTGCGGGTACATCCCCAGTAGGGAGTGTGCAGGAGGCAGCTGAATTGATGTTTCTCTCTCGTTGAGATTTCTAACTCCCTATTCCTCTCCCTTCCTCTATATAAAAAAATCAGCCGGGACCAGTTTGGCTCAATGGATAGAGCGTCGGCTTGGGGACTGGAAGGTCCCGGGTTCGATTCCGGTCAAGGGCATGTACCTTGGTTGCGGGCATATCCCCAGTAGGGGGTGTGCAAGAGGCAGCTGATCGATGGCTCTTTCTCATCGATGTTTCTAACTATCTCTCTCCCTTCCTCTCTGTACAAAATCAATAAAATATATTTTTTTTAAAAATCAATAAAATATATTTTAAAAAATAAAACGAGATATGGGCAAATAGTTAATGAATTAAATATCTCTTTAAACTTAAAATAATTGATCCTATTAAATATAATTCTGGGAAAATAGAAAAAGTTAGAAGCAGATTGACTGTACTGTTTAGAAAATTGATTAAGGTATTATATTGGTTTAACTTTATTCCAAAAATATTTTTTTAAAATATATATTTTATTGATATTTTTACAGAGAGGAAGGGAGAGAGATAGAGAGCTAGAAACGTCGATGAGAGAGAAACATCGACCAGCTGCCTCTTGCACACCCCCTTCCGGGGATGTGCCCGCAACCAATGTACATGCCCTGGACCGGAATCGAACCTGGGACCTTTCAGTCCGCAGACCGACGCTCTACCACTGAGCCAAACTGGTTTCGGCCCAAAAATATATTTTTGATGATAATTCATAGATATGGGTTTAATTCTGATGAAAATATTTATATTCAACAACCAATAGGGTCATAATAATGGGGTCACAATATCCTCCATATTAAAATGAATGTGGGGTGATTGAGAGCAATAAATGCAAAATAACCAAAATTTTTCTATCTCTTTCATTCTTTAAGGATCTTAAACCAGCCTATCACATTACAGACATCCATGAAGCTTTGGGATTATCTGACGTGGGAAATGACAGGACGATGTTCTTGTTTGGGACCCAGGTGACTGAGAATGGCTCAGAGATACCGTCCACCATGCAAGATGCCAAAGACCTGATTGCACACCTGGCTACACATATGCAGTGACGAAGCGAGGCCCACAGTGGCTCACGACCTAGAAGTCACCAGGGAGTGTTGCATGGCAGGCTTGAAGCCAAAAGTTTCCACTTTTAAATAAAAAACAGGCCATTTCCTATTTTCTCAATGCATGGCATAGATACAAAGATAATGTTAATTGATTAAAAGCATCTCTTTATTTCGATTTTGAACTTTAAAAGTATTAGTAGCACAATGTATTTGGGGGAATTTGGAGTTTTAAGCAACAAAATTAAAATGAACATTAGCAAATATATATCCCATTTTGTAGTTTTTCAATGACATGAGATTTATATTGACATTTTTATTTTTTATTTTTATTTTTATTTTTTAAAATAAATCTTTATTGTTTGGATTATTACAGTTGTTCCTCTTTTTTCCACCCATAGCTCCCTTCTATCTGGTTCCCACCCCACCCTCTGCCCTTACCCCCCCACACTGTCCTCATCCATAGGTGTACGATTTTTGTCTAGTCTCTTCCCACACCCCCCACACCCCTTTTCCCTCTGAGAAGTGTCAGTCCACTCCCTTTCTATGTCCTTGATTCTATTATATTTAGCAATTTCAGGTGTTTACCTATGCTGCCATCTTAGTTTCTCTTATATTGACATTTTAATAAATTTTTCTCTTTTTAAGTAAAAATCCAGGTTTCTCTCCTTTAAGAATATGAGTTTGACACTGTAAAGTAAGAAATACTGGGGTAGTGCAATGAGAAAAAGCAAGCAGCTCTGGCTGGTGTGGCTCAGTTGGTTGGGCATTATCCATGCACTGAAAGATTGCTAGTTGAATTCCACATCAGGGCACATGCCAACCCTTCCATACTCCCCTCTCCCCAAAAAAAGAAAGAAATGTAAAAGGATTCCTTCAAGCAGGACTTATTTTTATTTTATTTTTAAATATATATATTTTTTTATTTCAGAGAGGAAGGGAGAGGGAGAGAGAGATAGAAACATCAATGATGAGAGAGAATCATTGATCAGCTGCCTCCTGCACACCGCCACTGGGGATAGAGCCCACAACCCAGGCATGTGCCCTTGACCAGAATCGAACCCAGGACCCCTCAGTCTGCAGGCCGATGCTCTATCCACTGAGCCAAACCAGCTAGGGCAGGACTTATTTTTTAAAAATAAGAGAGCCTGGCCAGGTGTGACGCAGTGGTTGAGCATCAACCTATGAACCAGGAGTTCATGGTTTGATTCAGTCAGGGCACTTACCTGAGTTGCAGGCTTTGAGCCCCAGTAGTGGGTGTGCAGGAGTTAGCCAATCAATGATTTTCTCTCATCATTGATGTTTCTATCTCTCCCTCTTCCTTCCTCTCTAAAATCAATAAAGACATACTAAAAATAAATAAATAGAAAAAAAGTAGGCAGCCGAAACCGGTTTGGCTTAGTGGAAGAGCGTCGGTCTGGAGACTGAGAGGTCCCGGGTTCGATTCCGGTCAAGGGTATGTACCTTGGTTGCGGGCACATCCCCGGTAGGGGGTGTGCAAGAGGCAGCTGATCGATGTTTCTCTCTCATTGATGTTTCTAGCTTTCTATCTTTTCCCTTCCTCTCTGTTAAAAATCAATAAAATATACTAAAAATAAATAAAATAGGAAAAAAAGAAAAAAGAAAAAAAGTAGGCACTATTAAATTCACACAAAAATATAAATTAACAGCATTCAGAAAGATGTAGGAAAAGCTCTTTTAGAAGCTTGTTCTATTAGATGAGGAACATTGTGGGGATTTGTTTTTTAAATATTTGACATTTTTCTTTTATAAATGAGCTTCTTTCACTAGAAATAGCTATGTTTACCTACAGACACGATATAAACCCAATTTTTAACCTAGTGTCTTGTCTCGATTTAAAAAAAAAAAAAAGGACTTCATTTCTATTCTAGCATGTAAGAAGTTTGGAAGTCTCCACTGTTCTAACAAGTAAAAAGCTGAACAGACTGAAAAATCAACAGTTCTTCTAGGATCCACAGGAGAGGTGAGGACACAGGCTGCCCCAAGACTGGAGAAACCAATAAGAGAATCCAGAGAAGGATAAGTTGCCAAAGCAGAGACTCAATGGGAAACCACTCCTGGGAACCAGTGCCAGGGTTTGGGAACCAGAACTGTAATGAACCAATTGCTGGAGGGTCAGTATGGATAATTCTGAGTGTTAAAAACTCCAGGAAGATCCAGTCATATGGGGGTCTCTACATTTTGTGAGGTTTATCTCCAGGAGCTTGACCAGATTCCCACAATAAATATCACAGAAAAATCCTCGGGTGTTTCCAGGGTTGGAGAAAAGGAACCTTTTTTTTTAAATCCTCACCTGAGGATATTTTTCCATTGATTTTTAGAGAGAGTGGAAAGACAGAAACTTTGATGCGAGAGAAGCACATTGTTTGCTTGCCTCCTGCATGAGTCCTGACCAGGGCCCGGGCAGGGGAGGAGCCTGCAACCAAGGTATATGCCCTTGACCGAAATCGAACTTGGGGCCCTTTGGTCCACAGGCTACAGAAGGAACCATTTTGGTCCAAAATGGCTACAGAAGGAACCATTTTTAAATATGCCACAGCACTCTTATTAACAAAGTCTGACCTCTGGGAAAACTAGTTAACCATAGTCTAACCTGCAGAATTATTCTCAGAGCCCAAATCTAGCACTCCAGCCCAGCAAACTCATTAGTCAACAGAGCCAAATATCAACAGTTCAAAGATTGACATTTCTTTTGAGAGCCAATTTTTTTAAACTTAAACTTCTTCTAATGCCACTTCTTCAAAATAGACTTGCCCCAGGCCGTGGTATTTTGTGGAAGAGCCACACTCAAGGGGCCAAAGAGCTGCATGTGGCTCGAGAGCTGCAGTTTGCCGACCACAGATCTAGCCCAACTTCAAGATTTTAAAGCTACAGTAACTTAGCTATTGTAATGTTGGCAAAAAATTAAACAGATCAATGGAACAGATTAGAATGCCCAGAAATAGACCCTGATAAATACAATCAACTGATTTTTGACAAAGGAACAAAGGCAATTCAATGGAGCAAAATAAAGTATTTTCAGCAAATGATAACTGGAAGAACTAGACATACACATACAACAACAACCAAAAAGAATATAGACCCAGACCCCATAACCTTCACAAAAATACAAAAATTAACTCAAAGTGGGTACCAATATAAAACCAAAGGCATGGTCCATGAAAGAAAGAATAAGCTGGACTTCATTAAAATAAAAATATTCTGCTCTGCAAAAGACACTGTCAAAAGAATGAGAAAAAAACGAACAAACAAACAGTTCTCAGAATGGGAAAAAATAGTTGCAAAATAAACATCTGATACAGTACCGCCACTCAAAATATACAAAGCACTCTTAATAACAAAAACAAGCTGATTTAAAAATGGACCAAAAACCTCAAGAGACACCTCACCGAAGAAAATATACTGGTGACAAATATACAAATGAAAAGCTGCTTCACAGCATATGTTATCAGGGAAATGCAAATTAAAAAAACTGCACTCCATCATGTCTATTAAAATGGCTAATATCCAGGACACTGACAGCACCACATGCTGATGGGGATGTGGAGCAACAGGAACTCTCATTCAGAGATTCAAAGTTAAAATTGTCTCCATCACTGGGCCCTGCCAACCTCTACTTGGCTTCATTCTCCAGATTCCCTGGGTGAGGAACATTCGCCTACAACCTGCGTACACTAGTAAAGCTCACGATTCCGGAATAAGACAGACCCTCCCCTAAAGTAGCCGTCCAGCAGCTCTCAGGGAGGGGCACTGATTGGCTCTGCCAGGGTCAGATATTCATCCCCGAACCAACCTCTGTGGTCATTCTGCCAGGACCAGCACTGGGCAAATGTGAAGGTCCAGGTGTAGGAAGAAGCTGAAATGGGAAATTGCTTGACATGTTAGAGAGGAACAGGGAAGCTGGAATGTGGCCAGTCAGGGCAGAGCAGCCCATAGTAGACTGGAGGAGAGAGAGAGAGAGAGAGAGAGAGAGAGAGAGAGAGAGAGAGAGAGAGAGAGAGAGAGAGAGAGAGAGAGAGAGAGAGAGAGAGAGAGAGAGAGAGAGAGGACTAGATCACCAACAGGGCCCCTTATGGTGCAAAGCTTGGAATTCATTCTAAACGGGTTGGCGGGTCCTGATTGGAGATCGGCCCACTCAGAACACCAGTCTGGAAGGCATTGCAGAATCCAGTGGCCTGGACTGTCCATCTCAGCCTTCTACGGAGAACCCGTGCCAGGGAACCTAACGGAGACTCGGCTGGGCTGTCTGAGGGGCGCTGCAAGTGGTCTGGAAGCTGGTACCTTCTGCCACAGGGTCTCCGCAACCGAGAGCAAGCCGGCAAGCACTCGCCCATTGACCCACAGAACAGCTGGTCAGGAGCGCACACAAGGGTCTGTCTCCGGCTTCTTTCTCTGGGCGGAGCGCGCCTGTGGGCCCCTGGGCTGCGTCACGTCGCCTTGGCAACCAGAGAACCTGCAGGGAGGAGGCCGGGCCAGGCCTGTGCGTCTGGTCTGTCCGGTGCCCGGTGCCCGGTGCCCCGGGTGCGGGTGACCTGGGGCAGGGCGCGGGCGGCAACCCATCCCTCTGCCTTCGCGCCAAAGCCAGCAGCCTCCCAGCCAGCCAGGGTCCCGCGCAACGGGTGCTTCCCGGGCGCCCATGGGTTTATCAGAGCTATCCGGTGGCCGTAAGAAGACAAAACTATCCACCAGCTCGAAAGTTGCCCAGGCGAACCTGGGCATCCTGAACGTGCTGGACCAACAGGAGCTGGATCCGGAGCTGGAGCCCAAGACGTCGGAGGCAGCCTCGGAGCCCTCGGAGCCCTCGGAGCCCTATGAGTCCTATGAGCCCTACATCATCTGTGAATCCCCCCAACGCTGCGAGCCCCCCGAACCCTGTGCGCTCAGCACCGTCTATGAATCCTCCGGGCCCTACGAGACCTACGGGTCCGGGTCCTCCGAGCAGAACCATTACGAGCCCTGCGAGCTCCAGAAGCCCCAGGAGCCCCGCAAGCACTGCAAGCACAGCAAGCCCCAGAAGCCCCGAAAGTCCCAGGGGTCCCAAGGGGCCCCCGAGGCCTACAGGGGCCACAAAGCCGAGCTGCCGCCTCACAACCTGCCACAGACTTTCCTGTCTTCCCCCAGCGGTAGGTATGGGGACCCCACCTAAAACTGGGGGGTAGGGAGCGGGGGTCCTGATGTGAAAGTTGGAGTGCTCCTTTTGTGTTAAAGGAAGATAACTTAAAATTTTTTTAATTGATTTTTTTACAGAAAGGAAGAGAGAGGGAGAGTTAGAAACATCGATGAGAGTCATCGATCAGCTGCCTCCTGCACACTCCCCACTGGGGATGTGCCCACAACCAAGGTACATGCCCCCCACCGGAATCGAACCTAGGACCCTTCAGTCCGCAGGCCAACGCTCCATCCACTGAGCCAAACCGGTTTTGGCAGGAAGATGACTTTTGTGCCATTCACCTGCTGCCTTGCAGTCACCTCCTTTGGTTCCTGGGGGGATAACTGAGACAAGTAGCGAGAGAAATGGAATCTCTTCAGTCTCTCCTCCCTCCACCGGATGACTTTCTAACTGTCTTGATTATCCATCGTCACTTCTCTCTCTCTCTCTCTCTCTTTTTTAAAATATATTTTATTGATTTTTTTTTTTTTTTTTTACAAAGAGGAAAGGAGAGGGATAGAGAGCTAGAAACATCGATGAGAGAGAAACATTGATCATCTGCCTCCTAAACACCCCCTACTGGGGATGTACCCACAATCAAGGTACATGCCCCCCCCCACCGGAATCGAACCTGGGACCCTTCAGTCTGCAAGCTGACACTCTATCCACTGAGCCAAACCGGTCAGGGCTATTGTCACTTTTTTTTTTTGAAGTCCTTCGAAATTCTCCCCTACAATTAACTACTGCATTCCTCTGGGTTGCCACTTTGAATATTACCTCTGTGATAGCACTTGAGAATTTGTATGTCGTCATTATGTTTCTCCCCAGCTAGAGGGACCATTAAAGAGAGGATATTTTTGGTCAGTGTCTGGCACATGGTGACAAATCAAGAAATGCTAGCTATGATATTGTGAAAGCTGTAGTAACAAAGGACTCGCGGAGCAAGTGGTCAAAGAGTACATTTACTGAGTGCTTGCTGTATGCTCAGTCCTCACCATGTTCACGGGGTAGCAGGGTTGGTGGGACTTGGGTGTGAACATCCTTTGCTCTGACCACACCAGCTCATGTCTGACTTCTCCATGATGACTTCCCATTCAAAGCAGTTAAATCTCATATTCTCCTTGACTCTTCTTTGTCAGCCTGGAGTTTATCATTTCTTGTTCCATTTGCTCACATAATCTACCACCCATTCCACTGGCTCTTTGGCAAACCATCATACCTCTTCTGGCAAAACCCCAACCCTGGTTAACCCCAACCACCCACCTTCCACCTACACCTGAGCAGGTGACCACTGCTGTACGAAATTCCATAATCATATTGCTTGCTTCTATTTCTGTTTCATGACCACTAATCTCAAGTGGTCACTGGGCACTACCTAGCAACCCACTTTATCCACCTAGTTACTTCTCACTCCTCCATCCTTCATACCTTTGACTCCCAAACTGCTGAAGATCTTGAAGGAGTGACATTTTATAGTCCATGGTCGCCAATGGAATTACTTACTTCTTTGCAAATATCCCTAACTCCCTTGCCAATTCTTGTCCGCATTTGAGAAAACAGATGATGAGCCGAAACCGGTTTGGCTCAGTGGATAGAGCGTCGGCCTGAGGACTGAAAGGTCCCGTGATCGATTCCAGTCAAGGGCATGTACCTTGGTTGTGGGCACATCCCCAGTAGGGGTCGTGCAAGAGGCAGCTGATGGATGATTCTCTTTCATTGATGTTTCCAACTCTCTATCCCTCTCTCTTCTTCTCTGTAAAAAATCAATAAAATATATTTAAAAAGAAAAAGAGAAAACATGATGACAACAAAAAAACACACACAACTATTTTGATCTTTAAATTCATGATCTCGAGCTTGGAGGTAGGCTCTCAGTACTTTCAGTGCTGCTTGGCAATCATACTGCATGTCCCTGGTCAGCTCATTTTCCAACACAGACTACCAGCACCTGTCTATGTACTCTATCTTTTCTCCTGTTAATAATGGATGAACTGTCTTTGTTCCTATTCAAGGCCAATCTTCCAACCTCTATGTCGGATCTCATCCCATCCAACTGGAAGCTGCTTTTCTCCTAAAATGAGTCCTATCTCTCTTGCATCATTTTATTCCTCTCTCTACTGGATCATTGCTATCAGCACATGTACATGCAGTAATAACTCCCATCTTAAGCAAGAAAACAAAACAAAACAAAACAAAACAAAACAAAACACTCCATTATCCCCATGTACCCCTCCAGGTACCACTTCTTTAGACAAAAATTTCTCAAAATAGTTATCTATAAGTCATTATTTCCATATCCTCTCTTCCCATTCTCTTGAGAACAGCCTGAAGCTTTCATCTCCTCTATTTAGCAGAAGTTGCTCTTGTTGAAGTCACAATGGCCTCTGCTTTGCTAAATTCAATGGTTCATCCTTCATCCTCATCTTACTCATTTGACACACATTATCTTTTTCTTAGAAGTCTTTCTTTATTTGACTTTGGGGTTAACCACTGCTTTCATTGTCCTCAGACCTCATTGATTGTTCCTGACTCAATTTCCTTTGCTTCTCTTCCCAGCCTTTAGGTGAAAGTGAGTGAGGGATCAGTTTTTTTCAGAGTCTTTAGAACTTACCTTGTTCCCTAAGTTATGTCATCAGTTTCATTTCTTTATATGCTTGTAAGTTCTCAAATTACACTAGCCTCAATTCTTCCTTAAATTCCAGAGTTTTATAACCAATTGTTTAACATACCTAGTAGGCATGTAAAATTTAATGTATCCATATCTGAAACTCTTACTTTTGTACCCAAATTTGCTCTTCCCCCATTGTTCCCCATTTTAGCAAATGTCACCTCCATTCATTCATCCAGGTATTCAGGTTGAAGTCATTCTTGACACCTCTTTTACTCTTACAGTTTGCCTCCAAACCCTAATTTTGAAATATATCATAACTATGGCCATATCTTAACATTTTAAACCAATGTCACTTTAAAACAATTACTTTTTTATTGATTTCAGAGAGAGGAAGAGGGGGGAGAGAAAAACATCCAACACCCACAATCTGGGTAGGTATATGCCTTTTGGTGTGTGGGACGAAGCTCCAACCAACTGAACCACACAACCAGGGCAAATCTTTATCATCTTTGTAAGCCACTCTCTTTTTGTTGGTCCACTGCAATAGCTTGTACTCTTGCCCCATCCTCCCTCCACATTCCCTTCCCCAGTGTATTGCTCGTATAGTGGTCACAGGGATCCCTTAGAACATAAATTATATGCAACTTTCCTGTTCTCTACTCTCCAGAGAGGTTTCTCATCTCACATAGTTTGTTATCTAAAATTCTTAGCAGGCCTATAAGATCCCACAGGATCTGGCCTCTGCCTGCCTCCCCAACTTTGTATGTCATCACTCTCCCCACCATCACTGCTCTTCAGCCACGTGGGCCTCCTTGCTTCCACCTCACAATCATTTCATTTTCTTTTCTCTCTGCCAGGACACACTTTCCTCAAATATTTGTCACCTCCTTACAAAGCTGTATCAGATCACTCTGCTTCTTTTCTTTCTTTTTGTGAATGTGACTTAAAAATATATTTTTATTGATTTCAGAGAGAGGAGGGGAGAAGGAGAGGTAGAAACATCAATGAGAATCATTGATTGCCTCCTCCTGTATGCCCTCTACTGAGGATCAAGCCCACATCCTGGGCATCTGCCCTGATCGGTAATCGAGCCATGACTTCCTGGTTCATAGGTTTACACTCATCACTGAGCCACGCCAGCCCACTCTGTTCATTTTCTTTAAAACACTTATCCCTATTTGTTTCCACTTACAAATGTATTTGCTTACTGCCTACATTAAGCTCTCAGAGGGCAGGACTTTTATTTTTCCTACTGTGCCTGGAACAAGTAAGGACTTAGCAATTACTGTTGAATGAAAGTTCTCCTCATTCAGCTTCTGGGTTACCAAATCCAATGGTTCCTTCTCTATCATTAAGGTTGTTAAGATTAAATGCATTAATATCTGTAGTGAATTTAGAACAGACTGTGGTACATGATAAGTGCTCAGCAGATGTCAGCCATTATTATTAGCAGTGTTATTATTATCTTATTGGACCTCTTGGCAGCAATTACCGTAAAACAATTGACCATCTACCTCTTTCCCTTGGCCTCTGTGACATCACAATCTCCCACTATATCACTGGCCTGACTGGTTGCTGCTTCTCTCATTGACTGAGCCCTCCCTGTTCTCCTGAACTCTAAAGGGCTGGATCCTGACCCTTTTCCTTTGTACTTTCACTTTCCCCCTTAGGTGGTCATATCTACAATTATGACTTTACATAGCATGTTTATGCTGCTGCCTCTTAAATATATGTTCTTGCTGTATCTCGCTTCTGAGTCCTACACTTATATATTCAACTGCCTATTGGACATTTCTATTTGGATATATCATAGGCATTTCAAATGTAATGTATTCTGAGACAGAAGTCTTGATTTTCCTCCTATTCTTGTTTCCTGCTTAGTCTTCTAGTTAGGTGCTTGCAGAAAAGGGCATCCAGTTGCTTAAGCCAAAAAGAAAAAATAATCTATTTCTCCCCAATTTCTTTTTCTTCACCCTCAAATCCAATGCATTCAATGCAAGTTCTGTTCATTTCCTCTAGAATATCTCCCAAATTCATTCATTTCCACTGCTAATTCTTGCCTCCCAATTATGGTCATTTCTCTCCTGGATTTCTATTTTAGCTTCCTGAGCAGTCTCCCTGCTTCTACTCTTGTCATATGCAATCTCTTTGTACTGCAGAGTGGGCATTTTAAAAACTGAATCAGATCACATCTTTCACTCACTATATAGCCTTCCTATGGTTTCCTATTTTTCTGCAAAGAGTTTGGGTTTATCCTAAGAGGCATAGTTCTGCTCACTCTGCCCCAATCATAACTGACTTTTTTTTCTATTCCTCTGAAAGACCAATCTAACGTTTGCCCCTGCTTCACAACCAGTACGTGTGGCTTCTCTCCCTAGCTGCGTATTGCTTTTCCAGGACCATTTCATGGTTACTTCCTCAGCCCATAAATGTTTGTTTTTTTTCCCCAGCCCATATTTTACCATTTAGCGGGCCTTCAGTGTCATGCCACCTAAAGTGGCCTGCCCTAAAGTAGCGTATGAAACTCACTCTAAAAGTTTTTCAGCCTGGCTGGTGTGGCTCAGTGGTTGAGCATTGATTTATGAACCAGTAAGTCACAGTTCAATTCCCACTTAGGGTACATACCTGGGTTATGGGCTCCATCCCCAGTAGGGAGTGTACAGGAGGCAGCTCAATGATTCTCTCATCATTGATGTTTCTGTCTCTCTCTCCCTCTCCTTTCCTCTCTGAAATCAATAAAAATATATATATTTTTAAAAGAGAAGTTTTCAAATCTGCTTTAGAAAACACCACTTTAAAGTTTTCTATCCTCTCAACTTGTCTTCCAGATTTTTCTTGTTAAAAATTTCAAAAATCTTTATGTTAATTCCCTTAATAAAGCTCAAATAAGCATCAGGCACATTTATATAACATTTACATAAAATAGTGTGAACATTAACCAATATTATGTCAACATGTCACTATGCCCCTGCTCACTCAAGAAACACTTCTTCCCCAGTGAAAGTTTCCTAAGCACAGAAACATTGGCGTGCTTCTGTGTCCTGTGGGGTGAAAAGATGCCTGAGAAATGGCAGTTTGGTTGCATGCAAAGTTTTGAAATTTATATTGTAAACGAGGCGCCTTAGTAGTGTATTATCACCTAATCACTGTCACTGGTAAATTTCATTGAGAGCTTACTATGTTCAGATTGTAGGCCTGGAGCTGTAGATGAGTAAGGCATAGATTCCATCTTTGAAGGACTGTCAGAATGGTTGTGAAGGCTGAACACTCATAGCAATAATACATCCATAGCATACAAAGTCAAGTTAACTGGGTATCCTATAAGACATTCATTTCCCTTTTCTGAGTTAAAAGGCAGCACTAAGTTCTTTCTTTTAAGAGAAGAAAAGCTAAGAAGAAGAAGAAGAAGAAGAAGAAGAAGAAGAAGAAGAAGAAGAAGAAGAAGAAGAAGAAGAAAAAGAAGAAGAAGAAGAAGAAGAAGAAGAAGAAGAAGAAAAAGAAGAAGAAGAAGAAGAAGAAGAAGAAGAAGAAGAAGAAGAAGAAGAAGAAGAAGAAGAAGAAGAAAAAGAAGAAGAAGAAAAAGAAGAAGAAAATAGACCCAAAGTGCTTATTAAAGCTACTTATCTAAGAACTAGAGGCCTGGTGCACGAATTTGTACACTGGTGGGGTCCTTCAGACTGGCAGGCAATTGAAGCTGATCAGGGCCATCTTGCCTAGTTCCAATTGGGACCTTTCAGGGCCTGCTGACTGGGGGGAGGGACCAAGGGAGGTTGGTCAGACACAGGAGATTGGCTGCAAGAGTGCACTGACCATCAGGGGCAGCTCCTGCATTCAGCATCTACCCCCTGGTGATCAGTGCACATCATAGTGACCAGTCCTAATGGCCACTTAGGCTTTTATATATAGAGGCCTAAATATTTAATAGAGCCTACATATGTTATCTCAAGTATACAGAACCCAGAGTATTTGATCTGGATTCACAAGGGATTAAGGATGTGATTTAAAAGAAGCAATTTCAAGCAAGTGTGGGAGGATGGAAGGAAATTATATTGAGTAAAATATTTTTAATTTAAAAAGTTTTTGAAATTTGTAAGCTATTCACATGATTAAAAAGACAAAACAAGGAAATGTCTCTCTTCCCACCCTGTCCCCTCTCTTGTCTTTTATAGGTAACTATGTTTATTAGTTTCTATATATCTTTATGTAAATACAAGAAAATACTATACAAGCTTTCTTACTCAAAAGGTAGCATATACTATACTGTTCTTTTCACTTGACAGTGCATCTTTCCTTATCAAAACACGTTGTTTCCTCATTTTTAAAAAACAATAAGTCATCAGGACTCATTCATGTAATAATAAGGTTTTTAAAAATTCATGCTATAGTGTACTTTTATCTTCACAATACAATAACTATATTTTTGTTTCTATTTTGCTTTTTAAAATATGTTCAGCCCAAGCCAGTGTTCTCAATGCTTAGAGCATTAGCCCAAGGGTCTGGAGTTGATTTCCAGTCAAGGGCATGCATCGGGGTTGCAGGTTCGTTCCTGGTCTCACATCATTGTTTCTCTCTCTCTCCCTCTTTTCCATTCTAAAATCAATGAAAAAATATTCTAAGGTGAGGATTAACAAACAAACAAACAAATAAATAAAAATAAATAAATAAAAATCAAAACTTGTTTAGAGCCACATCCAATACTTAGGATTATAAGATAACCAGTAACCCAGTACACAAATTCATGCACATTGAAAGGAAATTAATTAGAAGAAGTATTTTAATATCACTTCACCCTTTCTCTACAATAGAAGTGTCAACCAAATTCACAATCTACAATGACAGATTGAAACATACGCATGTGATTGGCATCAGCAAGAGCTTTATATGTTTCGTGCATGCACAAGTGAACTTAGCCTTTTATAGATATAGAATAAACTTGCTTAATTAAACCTGTTTTCTGATGTAGCTAAACTTTTTCCTGCCCAGTGAAGCACCCCAACTTCTCTTTCAGGTAATTGTCAGCAATACAGCATACATATCAACATGAAGCAGATTATTATTCTAGATCATGCAGGGAGAACAAAGGGTAAAATATTTAACTGCAGCAGTGTTTGACTATGTTCTGTGCAGTGAGAAAACCTGAAGTCATTTTCAAGGTCCACCATTTTACTTCATTTCAGTCAGGTCAAGTTTCTAAACTTTCTAAATCTTCGTTTTCCAGCTAATGAAAAGAAAATAGGATTCTACTGAGTCTCCTACCTACCCCAGGACTTCTGTGAGGATCAAATGAGATGAGGCACAGGAAAATGCTTCACAGACATTTGGTTAAAGTGTGAAATGTTTGCACCTGGCTATAAAGCAAGTTGTGTTCCTGGGCTGAAGAAACTGCAAGGAGGCTAGTCATCGCTAGGGAGAGGAAGCTGGTTGTTGCTACGTGATGGCATTACCTGGCGCCCACAGTGACTGTTTCTGGGCTGGGCTGTGGACTGCCTTTTGCACCATGGGGCCTTGGCAGTGTGATTTGGTGGGCTGTCACTCCGGGGTGGTGGTGGTGTCTGTGTCCCACTTGGGGAAGCCGAGTAGGCACCAGGTATGTGGTGTCGTTATTCTTTGTGCATCATGGCAGCTCCTGCATTGAGCGTCTGCCCCCTGGTAGTCAGTGTGTGTCATAGCAACTGGTTGGATGGTGGTAGACTGAGCATATTAGCCTTTTATATATACAGATATCCCTAAGAACAATTACTTAATTTATTATACATTTTTTCACCTGTTCCCTTTTTTTAGGTACTAATTTTTGTAGGGAGAGCTCTGTAATGTTTCCATTCTCACATTTATTGAAGTTGTTTTCAGGCAAATATGTTTCCCTTGAGACACTGAGCCAAATCCACGAGGGTGAGATCTGCAGTTTTGAAAAGAGCCCCAAGTGATTCTTATATGCAGACAAGTCTGGAAATCATTGTAACACAGCTTTTCTTGGAACATAGCTAACAATGGCCCCGTGAGAGTTATTCTATCCTACTAGTTGGAGAGATAACTCACAAGTGTGTTTCTAAGATAAATAACAAAAGCTCTACCTATGGGAGAAATGATAGCATTAAAAGGGCAGTAGGAAAGAGTGTTCATTCATATCATCAGTATTTGGAGAGGCTTTCGAAGGATTGATTCAGTGTTATACTGACTCTCTCTCTCTGACCTGTATGTATAAAGCTGGAGGCACATGTGATAATAAAATACGTGAAAAATTCACAAAACAAGTGTGTGTCTTTCATGGATGATAGCAAGACGGCACCAGGGGCATATTCGTAGACTACTCTCCCTTTTTCCTTAGATCTGAGTAAGTTTAGCCTTTAAAAATAGAGTAATAGAAAATATAGAATTCAAAAATTCCAATTCTTTTAAAAGTTCATAGCCTATCTCTTAAGGCTGTAAACTCCTTAAGAGGAGAGACCACATATAACTCATTTTTAAAATGTATATTTTTATTGATTTCAGAGAGGAAGTTGAGAGGGAGAGACAGAAACATCAATGATGAGAGAGAACCATTGATTGGCTGCCTCCTGCATGCCCTCTACCTCATCTCATCCTTCCAGCTTTGTTATCATTGGCAAAAAATTTTGCTAATTGGATAGTTTAGAAAAATACCTCATTTTTCATTTGCCCTGTTTTGATGACAAGTTCGAACTTTCTTATGTTTATTAGCCCTTTATATATGAATTCATATATGAATTCAATTTTATCCTTTGTCCATTTAACTTTTAACATCTACCTTAGTGTTTTTCTTATTCATTTATACTTTTATACTCCTCATATATTAAAATTGTTAAGCCTTTATTATATTTGTTGCCAATTATTTCTCCAAAATTTTATTGCCTCTTCAAGTTTTACTTTTTAACATACAGAAGTCTAAAATATTTTAATCTATTCATAGTTTTCTTTGTGTTTTTTTGTCACCTGTAACTCAGATTAAAATCCAGGGATTAAATATTCTCTTATTTTTGCTCTAATTCAATTAAAAATATATTTAACTTGTCTATTGTGATTTATTAGCTGTTGTGATTTATTTTGATACACACTGTGCCATATTTAATTTGACTGCTTCCCTAAATAGTTATATTTTCTAGCTCTCTTTTCTACTGATTTGTGATGGGCTCTCTGTATATCTTGAATTCTTACTGAATCTAATTTTTGCTTTTACTTTTCTTTTTTGCAGAGCGTAGTGCATATGATTGTGCAAGGAGAAGGTAAGACTACAGTTACTGTTTTTCCAGCTTGAACTAGTGGGCCAGCCTAACTGGATGGGACAAACTCATTCAGGGGCATCTGAAGTGAGAAGCTACCCATTTCCCTGAAAATAAGACAGTATCTTATATTAATTTTTTCTCCCAAAGTTGCACTAGGTCTTATTTTCAGGGGATGTCTTATCTTTCCATGTGCTAGGTCTTATTTTCAGAGAATGTCTTATTTTCAGGGAAACACGGTAACTTGTGGTTTTTGAGAGGATTCCTGTATTTTCCCTTTGTCTTTAAGCCTTTTCTTTTTACATTTTATTGATTTTTTTTTTTTTTTTTACATAGAGGAAGGGAGAGAGTGAGTTAGAAACATCGATGAGAGAGAAACATCGATCAGCTGCCCCCTGACTCCCCCCCCTCCCACACCCCCACTAGGGATGTGCCCACAACCAAGATACATGCCCTCCACCAGAATTGAATCTGGGACCCTTCAGTCCAGGGCCCGAAGCTCTATCCACTGAGCCAAGCTAGTCAGGGCATAATGCCTCTTTCTAATGACAATTCCTCTGGGAAACAGAAAGCAGAGGAAGAAAGTGATTAAGAAGTAAGAATGGGGAAGAATACTGAGATGCAGGAGAACTCTCCTACTAGTCAGTGTTTTGCTTGTTTGCTAAATGCTAGGTGTTACATGCCAGGTCTAAACCTTTGAGGGACTTGGGATTCTGTATTGACAAGTTCATATCATAGATTTTGTGAAGCTTCAGGTCAATTTTCCCCACCCCCTTAACCTCTAATTCAAGCAAAATAACTAGTGAAATTTCAAGAAAATGTCCTCTATTTTTATTTTTTTAAATGTGTGTGTGTGTATATATATATATATATATATATATATATATATATATATATATATATACAACATATAAAATAGATGCCTCTTGAAAACAGATGTTTACTCTTGGTTTAGCTAAGATATAGTTAGAAGAGGTGTCAAATAGAATCATTAAAGAGAAAAGGCAAGGGTTCATTTCAATGGTTCATATAGATGAGAAGTAAATAACACCAGATTTTATTTCTATCCTCTCTTTCAATGAGTTAAACCATTCAGATTTGTTGTCATTATTTAGACTTATTTTGTATTATCTATGTATTATGCATTCTAGTAATTCTTTTTCTGGCCTTTTCTAGGCAGTAAATACTGCTACTTTACTCTTTTGTAACACTTTGCAGTTAAAAAGAACCCCCCCCCCCCCCCACACACACACAAGAATCCTGAGAAGTCCATAGTGTAGATATAATCAGCTAGATTACATTGAGAGAAATTATGCCACTTTCCCAAGGTTGAATGATGGCTAACTAGAAGAGCTGGTGCAATGAACATTTGCTGAGTGTGACCGAGTGTGCACTCAAAATAGCACATTATTCAAATAAATGTATGCAAGTGGGCAAACGCCGTGGCTACTACATAGACAGTGAAATAGTTTACCTACTCAGTGTTTATACTTAAAAAAAAAAAAAAAGACTGTTAGAGAGTGTTTTTTAATGTTTTTGTTATAATTTTGATTATGATGATTACACTGCTTCTTGCTTTTGTTTGGGTTAATTTGGTCTGAGTTGATGAAGAAATTGTGCTATCTCCATTTATCTATTCCTGTCCCCAATGCTCTAAAAGTTTTTTCTTAGGGAAGTGTGCTGTGCCTGATTGTAATGAAAGAAAATATTTTTGGACTACAAAGCAAAATAGTTGAGTGTAAAAAGAGTATTTTTTAATGAAAGAAAAATTATCTGAATGACCCCATCAATTCAGACCTGAAATCTTTTCCATAATTGTTGCTATATAAACACATATTTATTATTTGCACCCAAGGTAAAGATTTCAAAAACATTTTTCGCTATTGGGAAACCATAGAAGACTAATTATCAATGAAAACATAGGACAGCAATATAGTCCTCATTTTTTAAAAAATCTGCCTTTGAGAGTTAAAATTATTCAACCACATTCTTTTGTTTCTGCAAAAGATCATGGCTAAACATTGTGAGGTTATGCAATACTCCTGAGACAAGGAAAGCCAGTGTTAAGATGAGGCCATGTAGGCTGGAGATGTAGCTATGGTGACATAATGCATAATAAGTGAATGGAAAGGTGTTAGATCTTCAATGAAATTGGCAAATGTTAATTTCGCCAATTGTTTCCAATTGAAATAAGAACCCCTTTTAAGTATTTACAGGAATAAATTAGAAAACTTTTAATGCTCTTGTATAAAATGACAACTAAAAAACATTTTTAGTGGGTGAAGAAAAGGTTCCAAGGGAAATCTTGGCTTGGAAGTGATAATGGAAAACAGAGTCTAACTTGCTTGAAAAGATCTATACTAATAAAAGGATAATATGCTAATTAGACCAAAGACCTTCCAGACAAAGCCATGGTGGCAGGCCGAAGCAGAGGTGGTTAGGGGTGAGCAGAATGGCGGGGGGGGGGGGGGGGGGGGGAGGGGGCGGGGGGTCAGTTGGGGGTGAGCAGGCCAGAGGTTGGGAGCAGTTGGAGATGATCAGGTTGGCAAGGGGGAGGGCAGTTAGGGGCAAGAAGGCCGGCAGGCAGAGTGGTTAGGAGCCAGCAGTCCCAGACTGTGAGAGGGATGTCCGACTGTCGTTTCAGCCCGATCCCACAGAGATCAGGCCTAAACCGGCAGTCAGACATCCCCTAAGGGGTCCCAGATTGGAGAGGGTGCAGGCTATGCTGAGGAACACTCCCCATGCACAAATTTCATGCACCGGGCCACTAGTTAACATATAATAAAATATTTTGTCTGCAACTCTTTCCCTCCCTGTATCAAGCCGCCTCCTTGGAAAGTTAGCTCAGGCTATTTCACAGACTCATGTGGTACTTGAATAGTGAAGTCATTCTTTATTGAATAAGGATATAGATTTCCCCCCATTAATTTTCTCTAGATATTAACATGTATGGCTTGAGGATAGCAAATCTCCAAAACTTTCACCACCAAATAATTTTTTAGTCATCTCTATCCACTACCACAGACATGGGGTTGGAAAGATTTTATTGTTGTTGTTTATAAAACTACATTGGTTAATTTTTTTAAATCAAGGACACTTTATATCTACTTTATTTCATTTGTTGTCTTTCTATCCTGATATGAGAGCAAAGATCTTTATCTGTTTTATTCACCAAGGTACTCTCAGCCATAGAACCTTACTTTGTACATAGTAAGTACTCAATAAATATCTATATATCTACATATATAAAAGCCTAAGTGACCATCCAACTGTCCGACCATCCAACTGGTAGCTATGATGCGCACTGACTACCAGGGGACAGACACTCAACATAGGGGCTGCTGAGCTGCAGTGACTTGGCAGGTGAAGTTCTCAGGTGATGTACCCGGAACCCAGAGAGGAGGGAGCCCAATTCCAGGGTACGTCACTCGAGAACTGCCCTCTTGCAATCCTATGCCCCTCAGGGGATGTTGGAGAGTAGGTTTCGGCCTGATCCTCACAGGCCAGGTTGAGGAACCCCACTGGTGCATGAATCTGTGTACCAGGTCTCTAGGTTATTGAATGAATGAACTAAAGCTCAGAGGATTTAGTAACTTTCTCAGGGATAAGAAAGTGGCACTTTCTTTTAAGATAATAAACCCTAGAATCCCAGTGTTAGTACTGGAATAATAACCTCTTAGATGAAAATAATTTTTGGACCAGGTTTTCCTTGTCCCCACGATTGATTGTTGCTATCACCACACTGGTCTGAAAGGAAAATGTCCCTTTGTCAATACTGTGGCCTGGCTGTGTGCATGGACTCCTTACTTGCAGTATGTTCCTGGTACAGCTAAAGTGTGAAGGGGCAAATAAGTCATTAATAAAGGCAGAGGGATGATGCAAGTGAAATAAACAGGGAGAAACATGGAAATAGGTAATTGGATTGAAGAATTTTAGCTTGATCTTTAGGGTGAATGGCCCAGTTTTGTGAATGTGCAGTCATGAGGGTTCCTATTAATCCCTCTTTGCCTCTTCCCACTTTCTGAAAGGAACTTAATGATGTATCAATAATCATTTAATTAAGAAGGCCATATCCTGCCTTCCCAGTGTGGTTTAGTTGGTTGAGTGTTGTTTCATGCACCACGATGTCACCAGTTCAATTCCTGGTCAGGGCACATGCCCTGATTGCAGGCTTGATCTCCAGAAGGGTATGAGCTGGAGGCAGTTGATTTAAAAATATATATATTTTATTGATTTTTTACAGAGAGGAAGAAAGAGAGATAGAGAGTTAGAAACATCAATCAACTGCCTCCTGTACACCCCCTACTGGGGATGTGCCCGCAACCAAGGTACATGCCCTTGACCTGAATCGAACCTGGGACCTTTCAGTCTGCAGGCCGACGCTCTATCCACTGAGCCAAGAAGCAGTTGATAGATGTTTCTCTCTTTCCCTCTCCCTTCTCCTCTCTCTAAAGTCAAACAAAAATATATTTAAAAAATAAAAATAAAAAAGAGGACCTGCTTTTTAGTTAGTTCCTAATTGTGGAAGGCAATAAAGGGTTGTTATATATTGGGTCCTTTAAACTACAAGCATAAATAATTACAATATGAACTACAGCAACATAGATGTTATATTGATCTGTATAGTATAGGCAATGCTGCAGTAACAAACAAACCACAAAACTCTCAATGACAATGCAATAAGAGTTTATTTCTCCCTCAGGTCACAGTCCACTGTGAGCTGGCTGGCTCTCCTTTGTCTTGGAGATATGCCATCTAGAATATGTGGCTTCCAGGGCCATTGCAACAGAGAAAGAGAGAAATGGAGGAGGCATACTACTAATTAAGTACCTTGCTCTGGAAGTGATACTGAACACTTGTGCTGAAGTAAGACATAAGTAGGCACATGCCTCTAAGCTGCAAGAGAGGCTGGGAAATGTACAGGAATGTACAGGGTATTTGGGGAACATAAACTATCTCTTCTATAGGTGGATTCAGAACAATCAGGAAGGTCCAAGGCAGCTGCATAGGGAAGGAAGGAAGAAGTGGTACCAAAAGTATATTTTGCCTATTTCATAGTTTTCCCAAAGTCAATCAATCTGAAATTTATCTGCACAATCTCTTCAGAATCCAACGCCATAAAGCCATTTACAGATTAATATGTGAAGTCAGGCTTTTTCCCATTAACAAGTGTGCAATTATTTTACCTGGGGTCTTTTGGAGACAGTATGCTCTTGTTTTTATTACATATTTATTGTCTTTGTCTTGCTATGAACTATATTATTAGTAATTCTACAAGTGAGAATTTTGGACCCACAATATTTTTAAATACTTTGAGCTCTTTAGCATTCTTTAAGTTACATTAAATAGGCATGGCTAGTGTGGCTCAGTGGTTGAGCATCAGCTCATGAACCAGGAGGTTATGGTTTGATTCCCGGTCAGAACACATGCCTGGGTTTGGGGTTCAATCCCCAGAAAGGGGCATGCAGGAGGCAGCTGATCGATGTTGATGTTTTTCTCTCATCAATCTATCTCTCTTATCTCTCTCCCTTCCTCTCTCTAAAATCAATTAAATTTTTTTAAAAAGTATTCTCTTTGAATTAATCAGCTGGCATTTGTTAGTTCTTTTTCTAGGAAGAGAATCCAAGAACTTTCTAAGCCTAAAAAGCAGTGGGGAACCCCAGATAGGTAAGGAAATATTATATAGTTTTGTTTGTGATGATATATTCTTTACATTAAAGAGTAAGTATTCTTACCCGCCCAAGAACCCTGCATCCCAGGTGTATCTACCTCTCTTCTCAATTGGATCCATTGAACCAATACTATCATCTCAGTTGAGTCAACATGTGGAAGACAAATCCCTAAATCAGTGGTTTTCAGACTTGTCTGCACATTAGAATCACCTGCAGACAAAAGACTTAGACAAAAGAAGACAGGCTAATAGACAACAAGTACATGAAAAGATGGTCAATAGTATTAGTTACCCAGGAAATGCAAATCGCCACAATCATAACATTTCACATGAACTGCAATGGCTGAAATAAAAAAGACTGAAAATAAAAAGTTTTGGAGAGATGTGATTACTAGAGGGACAAAAGTATATATGTAGTAGTCTTTGTGCATGTATCTATCTATATATCTATATATCTATATATCTATATCTCTACATATCTATATCTATCTATATCTATATCTATATCTATATCTATATCTATATCTATATCTATATCTATATCTATATCTATATATCTATATCTATATCTATATCTATATCATCTATATCATCTATATCATCTATATCATCTATATCATCTATATCATCTATATCATCTATATCTATATCTATATCTATATCTATATCTATATCTATATCTATATCTATATCTATATTTGCACAAAGACTTATACATGAATGGTCACAACCACTTCATAATAGCATCAATCTCAAAACAACTCAAATGTCCTTCAATAAGTGAAAAGACAAAGAATTTGTGGCATATTCTTACAATAGAAAAGTAATGATAAAAATAACCTCACAACACATACAACATTGTGGATGGAGATGATAGTAACCAATGTGATTGTTTGATATTGTATAATGAAATGTATAAATATTTGGAAGATCTGCATAACTCGATGAAATGATACTTTTCAAATGACCAAGGAATGATATTTCAATATCTTGAGCTGCTATCATTATTGTTATTTTTGCTATTTCCTAGAGAAATAAAGCAAAATAAAACTTAAAAAAACAAAGTGAATTGATGTTTGGGTCCCAGACTTGCTTGGACTGGGGTGCAGGGTAGGTATTGGAACTGTCAAGAGCTCCCAGATAATTCTCATGGGCAAACAGGCTTGTGAACCACCATCCCTGGGTGCTACTGCACACGCCTTTGAAACTCTTGTGCCCATCCTTCAGGTTGCTGCTCTAACATCTAGTCCTGCTGTCTCTATGCCTTTCTTCAGAGCACACCTGTTCTCTGGATCCCCAACAGGCTGAATCCACTTTCTTTCCATCCTTGGCCATATGACTCCCCCTTTCTTTCGTAGATTCTGAAGAAAGCCTGAATTCCACCCCTCCTTTTTTTTCTTTTCTGATCTCCTATTGCTTTTGAAAAAATTAATAGCCTTTATTTTTAAAAAATTAGTTTTAGGCGTACAGGAAAATTGAGCAAAAGTACAGAGAGAGTTTTTATATTACCATCCACTCATCTAGTTTCCACTATTATAAACATCTTGCGTTAGTGTGGTATATTTGTTACAACTGATAAACAAATGTTGACATTATTATTAACTAATAATGTTAGGGTTCACTTTAAGTTGTATAGTTCTATGGGTTTTGTCAAGTGCATATTGTTCTGTATCCACCATTACAGCATTATACAGAACTAGAGTCCTGGTGCACAAAATTTGTGCAGAAGGGGGGTCCCTCAGCCCAGCCTGTAACCTCTCCAATTGGGAACCTTTTTAGGGATGTCCGACTGCCATTTAGACCTGATCCCGGGAATTGGGCCTAAAAATTGCCCCCCTCTGCCGGCCTGGTCACTCCTCAACTGCCCCCTTGCCAGCCTGGTCTCCCCACACAGCCTGCTGTTCAGTCATTTGATCATCCCTCACTAACCCCCTGCCAGCCTGGTCATCCCATGCAGCCTGCTGGTCAGTCATTTGGTTGTCCTTCACCAACCCCGCTGCCAGCCTGGTCACTCCATGCAGAGTGCTGTTCGGTCGTTAATGTAAAGGCATCCTGACAAGTTTGCATATTAGCCTTTTATTAGTATAGTTTCACTGCCCTAAGAGTTACCTGTGCTCCACCTATTCACTTCTTTCATTCTCTATCCCCTCTCCAAACCCCTGGCAAACACTGATCTTGTTTCCTTTCCAGAATGTTACAGTTATAATTAAACAGTGTGTAACCTTTCCTGACTAGCTTTTTTCACTCAACAATAGGAATTTAAAGTTACTCCATGTCTTTTTATGCCTATTTATTTATTGCTAATATTCCATTGTTTTGATGTACCAAAACATATCCATTCATCTATTGAAGGACATATTGGTTGCTTCCAATTTTTGACAATTATGAAAAAAGCTGCTATAAACATTTGTGTGCAGGTTTTTGTGTATATATAAGTTTTCAACTCATTTAGCTAAATGCCTAGGAGTGCAACTTCTGGATCACATGGTAAGAATATCTTTAGCTTCGTAAGAAACTGCCAAACTTTCTTCCTATATGTGTGTACTATGTCCTCCAGCAATTAGTGAGAGTTCCTGTCCTTCCTTATCTTCACCAGTATTTGGTGTTGTTAGTCCCTTGTATTTTAGCACTTCTAATAGGTTGGTAATAACATCTCATTGTTTTATTTGCAATTCATAATGAGATGTTAGCATACTTCATATGTTTATTCACCATCTTTATATCTTCTTTGGTAAAGTTCTGTTCATATTTTTTGCCCACTTTTTAAAAATATGTTTTTATTGATTCTTCTCTTATAGAGAGAGGAAGGGAGAGGGAGAGAGAAGCATTGATGTGAGAGAGAAATATCTACTGGCTGCCTCATGCACAATACACACCTCCTACTGGGGATCCTGTAACCTGGGCACGTGCCTTGACTGGGAATCAAACCAGCACCTTCTGGGTGCATTGGACGCTCAACCAACTGAGCCACACTAGCCAGGGCTTGCCCACTTTTTAATTGGGATATTTGTTTTCTATTGCTGAATTTTGAGCGTTCTTTTGTATTTCTTGAATACAAGTTCTTTTAACAGATGTTATTGACTGAATGTTTACGTCCTCTCAAAATTCATATTTTGAAATCTAATCCTCAATGTGATAGTATTTGGAGGTGAGGCTCTTCAAGAAGTGATTAAATCATGAGGGTGAAGTCCTCATGAATGGCATCTGTGCCCTTATAAAAGAGTTTCCAGAGAGGTTCCTCACCACTTCCACCAAGTGAGAACACAAGCTTCTGCTTCAGCCTCTTATCTCCCTAATGTCATTCTCTCCTCTCTAATCTGTTTCAAATCACCATTAGGGGAGTTTCCAGTTTTCACCGTTTGTTCATTCATCAAACCAGGATAGAGCATCTACTCTGTTCAGCACTAAACCATGCAAGGGGAAATCTCCAAAAGATTAAGACACAATCTCTCTGCTGGAAAGAGATCTAGAGATATGGAGAAGAAGGTGCTCCTTGTCAAAATGGTGGAGGGCCACGTAAGCCACTATAAGGAGTTGGGACTTGATTCTAAAGCAAATGGAAACCTTTGAGATATCTATAATAAAACGAGAGGATGACTTGGTCAGATTGGAGTTGAGGAAGATCACTCTGGCAATGGTGCCTCCTGCACTCCCCACATTGGGGATCGTGCAGGCAACCTGAGCCTGTGTCCTAATTGGGAATTGAACCGTGACCTCCTGGTTCATAGGACGATGATGTTCAATCACTGTGCCATGCCAGCCGGGCATTACTCTTATTTTATTTTATTTTATTTTTTTTACTACCTGAAGTGAGAGCACAGTGTAGAGAAGTGGCATGACCATTTTATGTCGACCTGACGATAAATTGCAGTGTTAATTACACTATGGCAGAAACAGAGCTGCCTGCCTCCAGCAGGTTCATTTTTGGTCACTCCATTTTAAGACAGCAGATAAAACAGTCTCATTTTATTTTTATTATTTCAACTGACATGAGCAGTTTATCCACTTCTGATGCCCGGAATAGTTCTTAAGCTGAAGTAACATCAATCGAGAGGCAGTCTATGATGTCATTAGCAGTGAATTTTCTTGGCATTTTATTTTTCTGCTTTTTAACAGAAGGCTGTTTTGGGGAAATCAAGATCCTATCCGCCCTATTTGCCGTAGTGCTTTGAAGAGTCAGATGACCAAAAGACTCGAGAGCCTGGCCCAGCCCAAGGAGGTCTCCATCAGATATGTACCTAACAGGTTCGCGTTGCCTGATGGCGGTTTATTTTTTTCAGGAGTCTCTAGAAAATGAACACTGAACTCAGCCCTTTAATCTAAAGCCATAAATAGTCTTGTAGTCAACATGTATTGAGGAGTAGGGATTTTATATGTTTCCAATCTGATGCTACCGTACAACTTTCCCAGAGCAGGATCTAATATTTAGCTATTGCAGAAGTGTGTTATATCCTAGAATGCTATGCTATACCAGAACACTGAGTAACTGAGTTATGTCTCTGGTGTCCTCTCACCTTCCTTTTTGTCTCTCTCATCCGCCACCTGGGCCTCCGCCCCTTTGCCCTCCTCTGCAAAGCATCTTTTGTGCTGCTCATGGGCCACCTAATAAGTCCTTCCTCCCGCTCCTTTTACTGACTCTGATCTCTCTATAGTGCCCCATTGTTCAAAACCACCCCTTCCTTCTCTAGCTCCAATTCCCAAACAGAACTGCCATTTCCTGCACAAGGCTAGCCCAAGTAAGTGCAGGAGGTTCCCTCCTGTGTGAGTTTGGCTGGGCATGCATGCGGTGAGGGTGGCTGAGTCAGTGCAGCCAGGCAGTGAAGCGTGGGCAGGGCAGTCTCAAGCCTTCTGAATGCAGAAGTGAGGTGCATGAACAGACCTCGAGGCTGGCTGGTCACAAACCAAGGAGGGAGATACAGGCTTACACACATCCCCAGGCCTACATTAGCCACCAGCAGGCAGCCTGGGCATATCCACATCCATGAATACGTTAAAGAAGCAGAGGCCTTTTGGAAAATAACAGAAGCAGAAGTGGGACTGCAATCTGAGTTAACAACAGGCCCAAAGTATCCAACATCACTTACTTTCCCACGGATCAAGGATTATTTATCCCAAATACAATCTTAGTTTATAAAACCCAATTCTGATAAAATAATCTACATACCATGATCAAATAGAATTTATTCCTAAACCCAGAGTTCTTTTTTCACAAAGAAGAACATCAATGCAACTCATTCTACTAATTAAAAATATAGTACAAATATTATCTATATAGATGTTAAATAAATTGTTTTGTTTTAAAGCAGCACATTTCCTCTTTCATTTAGTTTATATTTGGGACTATTTAAAAGCTGCAATTTATTTAGTGTCTGCTAGGAATCATCTGCTAAGAACAGGGTATTAGAAGGCAGCTGAAAACTCGATGGCTGTAACCATTTCTAATTTCTTCCCATCATAGCTCAGCAGTAAAGGGTTAAGCTGTCAAACCCACTCCCCTCGACCTGGGGGTATCAATGTTTGAATTCAAGTGGTAATTTAATTCATGCCTACTTCACTCACTTCTTTTCTCTCCACTACGTGCAGGGTTCAATATTACTACAACTGCGGTAGAGGGTCTGCAATCTGGGATACCCCTTCTTTTGTACCGCTAAGAAAACCTTCCAGAAGGATCCAGAAGTTGTCACAGCCTAAAAAAATCAGGAAAATAGAGATATGGAATAGGTAGAGTACCTGAGACCCTCTGTATATCCTAATCTCACTTGGTTAAATGTTGTTGTTCTCTTAGTGTGTGCAGGTCCCTTGTGTTTCAAAGGATCAGGGTACAACAATCCAATATTTTCAGCAACGGTAGGTCATCGGAAGATCCCCATCAATAATGACATCTGACTCAAATATGGTGAAGCTAAAACTCACAATAAACGTAATCCCTGTCTGTCAATTAAAAGGAAATATGCAAATGAAACATTATAGGTTTTTGCACTTTTTAAAACTTGGTATTCTCTTAATGCCTCTGGGATTTGGCACATGATCCCCCATTTGCTTTGAATGCTGACTTTCTCCTGTCTTTAAGATACGGTTTAGTGATATCTTCCACAAGGGAGCTGAGGTTGTGATGTGGTTATTGGGAAAATTCTAGGTTACATTAATGCAATATGAACAGTGCATACTTACAGGAAGGTGATAGAACTAATATGCACTACTGTGTCAGAACACATTAGGTGTATGTGTCCAATTAAGGATGCTATGCCTTAAGGTGGGGGGCCGGGTGAAAAAGGTGAAGGGGTTTAACAAGTACTAATTGGTACTCACAAAATAGTCCTGGGGATGTAAAATACAGCCTGGGGGTATAATCAATAACATTGCAATAACTGTGTATGGTGCTTGGTGGGTCCTTGAAATATCAGAGGAACCACCTTACAAAGAATATGGTTGTCGTACCGCTATGCTGTACACCTGAAACTAATAATAATATGGAATGCAAACTGTAATTGAAAAATGAACCGAAACTGGTTTGGCTCAATGGTAGAGCGTCGGTCTGCGGACTGAAGGGTCCTGGGTTCGATTCTGGTCAAGGGCATGTACATTGGTTGTGGGCACATCCCCGGAAGGGGGTGTGCAAGAGGCAGCTGGTCGATGTTTCTCTCTCATCGACATTTCTAGCTCTCTATCTCTGTCCCTTTCTCTCTGTAAAAAAATCAATAAAATATATTTTTTTAAAAAAGAAAGAAAAACGAAAAAGAAACATAATACAGTTTAGACTGTTCAGAAGGAGATAAATGAGATGTTGAGCTCCTGGAAACTATGTTATATGAAAAATAGTTCAGAGAAATGGCATGTTTAGTTTAGAGAAGAGACCAAGGGAGCAGTGAAAGTTCCAGGTAAAAGGTTAGCACTGAAGGAGATAGAGGAAGTGACATTATTTTCTGCTGGTCCTGGAACTAGATATTGAACAAGGTGTTTACAGAGTAGCAGATGTCAGCTAAGTGTAGGAAACTCTTCCTGACTAGCGATTCAGTAGTGGACAGTTATATATTGATATATATATATATATATATATATATATATATATATATATATATATATATATTTCAGAGAGGGAGAGAGAGATGGAAACATCAACAGTGAGAGAGAATCATTGATCAGCTGCCTCCTCCACGTCCCCTGCTGGGAACTGAGCCTGCAACCCAGGCATATGCCTTTGACTGGAATCAAACCTGAGACCCTTCAGTCCACAGGCCAACGCTCTATCCACTGAGCCAAACTAGCTAGGGCTGCCACTTAAAAATAAAAACAATAAAAAATTAATAATAATATATATTGATTTCAGGAAGAAAGGGACTTGAGCCAGTACCTCCTGGTTCATAGGTCGATGCTCAACTACTGAACCACACCAGCTGGGCTGTCAATGCTTTTTGAGACCCTTGAGTTTGATGTTTCATATAAGTAAAACTTCCTTAAGTGTTAAAACTTCCTGTATTTAAAAGAATTTATGGCCCTAGCTGATTTGGCTCAGTGGATAGAGCATTGGCCTACAGATTGAAGGGTTCCAGGTTCGATTCCAGTCAAGGGCACATGCCAGGGTTGCTGACTCAATCCCTGATCAATGATAACCTCTCTCTCTTCATTGATGTTTCTATCTCTCTCTCCCTCTCCCTTCCTCTCTGAAACCAATAAAAAAAAATAGATTTACAAAAGTTTATGTCTCCCCACTCTCCTAAGCAGATTCTTCTGCTATTGAACAATATGTAAGCATTGTTCCCTGGCTTGAGATCTTTATTATGAACATAAACTTGGACATAATACTTTAATACAGGAAACCTCTTAGGAACTGTCTGAGTATGAAGCACAGTTTTGCGTTAAGTGAAGTAGTCTGACCTCTGTGTTTTTAGTTTAGGACATGTTTGCCTCTCAGAGTTTTCCTGACATTTTCTGCTTAGTGCGGGAAGAGTCTTTAACCAGGCTCTTTTCTGAGATTCTGTGCACTGGAAACAGATAAGCAAGCTTGTCAGAATTGTGTGAGGGAAGAAAAGCAAATACTTAGTGAAAACATAGAGGAAATCTTAAGGAATCCACATAACATCATCACAATAAGTAATAATGTTAAAACTGCAAGTCTCAAGCAACCAGTGGATCATGAAATTAATCCCAGCTTTTTTTTTTTTTTTAATGAAATCAAATGAAATTTTAAAAATCAGAATACATTGCCTAGGACAAGCATTGTTTCATGATAATTTTGTCTCAGACATAGAGATTTACATAGACTGTATCTCAATATAAGATGTACTTCTTACTGTAGATTAAAGTAAAAAAATTTCTAGAAAAAAACAGTCTGGTAGAAAGAGCACCAAGGATTATGGGAAAAGATGCTCCCAAGGTAGAAACAATGTATATAATTGGGTGGAGGTTGATTATAGCAATGAAAAATGCAGTTATTGCTCCTCTAATGATAATATTTTACATCCCATTTGCATATAGGTCCCTCAGTGAATTGATAACAAGAGATTCTCTTCAACTCAGTTCTCCTTCTCCCCGGATATTACGACTCTCAATAGCCAAAGGCATAAGTCCAGACTACATTCCTCCAAAAGATGTAAGTGGGTCTATGGGAAAGGACCATTTCCTGATGGACTTTGTTACATGAGATATGTTTGTGACTGTAACATGCTCCCCTCTTATTCCTAGGTGTGTGTTTTCATATTCTCCTCTGGTCAAATGGACTTTTCTGACTAGGCCTCCCTGTGTCTTACATATCAGTCAGATTTGATCAGAGAAGCAGAACCAGGATGAGTAAGACAGAATTAGACCTCAAGCAATTAACCACTAACCAGCTCAGAAAACAAATGACAGATTATCTAAAACGGATGCAGAGAACCCATCTTTAAAGTTCTGATCTGGTTACCTTCGTACCAAACCACCCCAAAAACTTCATGACATAAAGCCACCACTATTTTATTGCCCTCAAGGATTTGATGGGTTGGAGGTCCTGACAGGGCAAGCAGGCTCGTCTCTGCTCCATGATGTCTGGGGTCTCAGCTGGGATATTTCTAATGCCTCAAGTGCCTGAAATGAGAGAGGCTGGAGTCATCCAAAGCCTCCTTCACACCTGTCTTAGTCATCTCCAGCTGCTATGACAAAAGAGCCGAGACTGGGTGGCATAAACAACAGTTCTGGAGGCTGAGAAATCCAGGATGGAGGTGCCAGTGGATTCTCTTCTTGACGAGGGCCCTTCCCCAGGTGTAGCAGCCACCTTGTGAGCACATGGAGAGTTCTGATTTCTCTTCTTCCTCTTAGAAGGACTCTAAACCCTTCTGAGAGTTCCACCTTATAGACCTCATCTAAAGGTCTTATCTAAACCTAATTATCTTCTAAAGACCCCACTCCTAGTAGCATCACATTTGAGGGTAAGGTTTAAATTGAATACAGGGAAGTGGGAGGACATAAATGTTTAGTCCATAATATAGAATATACATTTGGCCCAGCCCATGTGGCTCAGTTGGTTGAGCATCATCCTATGAACCAGGAGGACACAGTTCAATTCCCAGTCAGGGAACATGCCTGGGATGCTGACTTGATCCCCTGTAGGGGGTGTGCAGGAGGCAGCTGATCAGTGATTCTCTCTCATTGATGTTTTTATCTCTCTCTTCATCTCCCTTTCTCTCTGAAATCAATTTTAAAAATGAAAAAACAAACAACAACAAAAACAACAAATGTATTTGTGGTCCCTAGTCTGGGATGACTTGAAGGCTAGACTCAGTTGGGAATATATACAGAAGCACCTTCATCTGATCTCTCCATGAGGCTCAGACCTCTCAGCATAGCAGCTATGTTCTGAGAAGGAATAGCCTAACTTGGAATTCCCAAGGATGAGCATTCCAAAGGAACCAGGTGGAAGCTGCATTGCTTTTTTTTTTTTTTTTTTTTTTTTTTTTTTTTAATGATTTGACCTTGCAAGTCACATGATGTCACTGCCATTATACTCTTTTGATTGATGCAGTTACAAGTCTGGCCAGATTCAAGGGGGCAGGCACACAAACCTCACCTTTCCATGAGAGAGGTGGCCAGGAATGTATAGCTCCATAGGAAAAACCCTGCCACACCCAATGATGTGAATCTTCTGGTATCCACCAGCACAGTTTGTGTAGACAGGAAAGACTGTTCAGAAGTATGCTCCTGACTTAAATAATTAATAGTTACTTTTAAAATTCCATATTAAAAAAATCTATTTCTTTCTTAGGCAACATTCTTAAGTTTAGCTTGGAAGTTTTATTATTCTAACATTTTTTTTTAAAACAATTGCTTTAAGAATCCTGAGTATTTGATTTGGTTTCTAACTGAATTAAATACCATCAAATACTTTATACTTATCAGTACATTAAATTTGATTTCTTTTAAAATATTTTATTGCAATAATTTATATTAGCAAACAAAACCTCCAGAATCAAATGATTATTTAAAAATCTAACATGTTCAACTTATAGTTTTGGTGAACCTAAAGTTTTCTGGTTGTTTTGTTTTGTTTTGTTTTGTTTTGTTTTGTTTTGTTAATCCTCACCCAATGATTTCTCTTCCTCCCCCCTCCCCACCACTGATTTTTAAAGAGAGAGGAAGGGAGGAAGGAGGTCAAGGAAGAGAGAGAGAGAGAGAAACATTGATGTGAGAAAGACATAGTGACTGGTTGCCTCCCCAATGCACCACGACTGGAGCTAGAGATAGAACCTGAAACCCAGGCACCTGCCCTTGATGAGTAATCAAACCCTTCACCCTCCGATGTGTGGGCTGACACTAACCACTGAGAGACACCGGCCAGGGCCTGAAGTTTTTAATGTTGCAAGAATGACATAGATTTAAGACTTCAACTTAAAGTCATAAGTTGATTTTAGAAGTTACTTAATTATACATTTCAAATTGCAATTGTAAGGTTATCACTCTACCAGGCTGATTTCTCTTAAACATTTTTACTTTAATAGTATACACATACTTTTGTTTTAATAATTTCAATTTTACTGAAAAGCTGGAAAAACACACAATTAGCTCCATTGGCTTTATCATTTTCTCTCCTTCATGGAGGTTTTTTTTTTGTTTGTTTCCACACACCCTGGTGGGCCCAGGCCTCCACTCAAGGCTACAAAGTTTTAATTTTAGAAGATAAATAAATCCCAGATACCAGGGCCTCTACTTGGGTGCCTGGGAGGTGTGGCTGGCCTGCAAACCACCACAGGCCCCTCGCCCAGGCCACCCCATTTCCCAAGGGAACCCCCACTCTGATCCGGGACACCTTTCAGGGAAAACCAGCTAGCCCCCATCCATGCACCAGGCCTTTATCCTATCTAATAAATGAGTAATATGCAGATTAGCCATCACTCCAACAACCAAGATGACTGCCCCATGTAGTCAAAGATCCTGCCTCCATGTGGACACAAGATGGCCACCACAAGATGGCCAACAAGAGAGGGCAGTTGGGAATTACCAGGCCTGCAAGGGAAGGCAGTTGGGGGTGACCAAGCCTGCAGGGAAGTGCAATTAGGGTTGACCAGGCCAGCAGAGGAGGAAAGTTGGAGGTGACCGGGCCTGCAGGGAAGGGCAGTTGGGGGGACCCAGGCCTGCAGGGGAGGGGTGACCAGGCCTGCAGGGGAGGGCAGTTAGGGGTGACCAGGCTTGCAGGGGAGGGCAGTTGGGGGCAAACAGGCTGGCAGGGGAGCAGTTAGGCATCAATCAGGCTGGCAGGGGAGTGGTTAGGGGATGACCAGGCTGGCAGGCAAAAGCGGTTAGGGGAAATCAGGAAGGCAGGCAGGTGAGTAGTTGGGAGCCAACAGTTGTGGATTGTGAGAGGGATGTCTGACTGCCCCATCAGTGGGATGGGGCCTAAATGGGCAGTTGGACATCTCTCAAGGGGTCCCAGATTGGAGAGGGTGCGGGCTGGGCTGAGAGACACTCCCAACCCCCGCTCCTTCCCCATGAATTTCGTGCATGGGGCCTCTAGTAATAATAATAGACTTGATGGTTCTCTTCTGGCTATGAAGAAAGCTCCCTCCCCCACATCTAATCTGTTACACATGCATTCACAAGCCCGGTCTCCCTGCATAACCAGAGACCATCTGCTCCCTGCTTCCTCGCCTCTATGCTCAGCTTTTCCTTCCCATTATCTTTTCTGTATCTCCCTATCTTTCCTCTTCTCTCTACTTCTTCAAGGTCCAATCTAATGTTTCTTTATCCATAACGAGGGAATCCTCCTTGGCTTTCCCCACTCTTCCTCTGATATCTCTCAAAGTTTTATTCATTTTCTTTTACTGTTATCAAATGATTTGCTTGTAGGACAAGGTTTCTTCTAAGTTGAAATTTACTTTAAGATGCCCTAGCCAGTTTTGCTCAATGGATAGAGCATCGGCCTGCAGACTGAAGAGTCCCAGATTTGATTCTGGTCAAGGGCACATACTTTGGTTGCAGGCTCCCTGCCCTGGCCGAGGGCATATGGGAGGCAACCATTCGATGTGTCTCTCTCACATCGATGTGTCTCTCTGTCTCTGTCTCTCCCTCTCCCTTCCACTCTCTGTGGAAAAAAAAAAATCAATGGAAAATTATTTTAAGAAAGGGATTATTTCTAATGAGGAATAAAAGAAGACCTATGTAATATTTTCAACAATAAAGATAAGAAAAAATAGAAAGAGATTATTTAATGATTCCTTGTTATATCTTACATAATATAATTGATTAAGAGATATTTGTCTAATGAATTAAATTAATAAATAATTATTTTATTATTATTTTTCAACTGTAGGCCTTAACTGAAAGCAGTGGTTATCATATATTCCTCCAATTTTCCCAGAGCTTGATAGGAGACAAAGCTTCACTCATAGAAAATATTTACAATGCTTAATTAGCATTTCATAGTGTTATAATAACAGATAGGATCTTCAGTTTGAATCCTAGCGCTGCCACTTACTAACTGTATAAACTTAATCTGCTGAACCTCAAAGTACCTTGGTTTCTCAAATATTTCAGTGAAAAGAAATAAAAATGATAGCCCAGGTGAAGAATAAATTAATTAATTCGTGTAGAGTACTATCAGTATGGGTACCCTCATTTCAAACAACACTGGAAGGGAATAGGGCATACCTTTGTATTACTTTTCCACCCACAGTGAAAAGATAAAACTACATTTTATTTCCAGTGAATGATTATATTCCACCTCAACATCTTGTGGTAAATCTTGAGTTTGAATATAAGTACTTTAAATAGAAAACCATATTTCCACAATTAAGACCAAAACAACATTCTCTATGGAGATAATGCAGTTCTGCCTCCTTCTTCCTGGCTTTGGTTTCTCTTCCGTATCTGCTTGACTGAGAAGAGAGCCGCTAACATGTACTTAAAACATGGAGATCTGTGATAGTGTGAGTCCCAATGGGCAAAAGTAGCTAAGACAAACTTACCACGCCCCTTGCAGTGTTCTCATGTGTGTGGTGGGGCTGGGCCTTTCCTCTTGGCTGAGTTTATCATGCTATTCATCAGCATTACCATCTATTTCTTTCTTTATTATTATTATTTTAAAATATATTTTATTGATTTTTCACAGAGAGGAAGGGAGAAGGGCAGAGAGCCAGAAACATCGATGAGAGAGAAACATCAACCAGCTGCCTCCTGCACGCTCCCCATCAGGAATGTGCCCACAACCAATGCACATGCCCTTGACTGGAATCGAACTTGTGACCTTCCAGTCCACAGACCAACGCTCTATCCATTGAGCCAAACTGGTTTCGGCACCATCTATTTCTTAGACACTATACAACATAGCCATTTCCTCCACATCTTTAAGTTCCTGAAAATTTGAGTTGGAATCCATACGACTAGTTTGAGAAAGTTGGGCATTGAATCCTCCAGCTATGATTGTGGTTATTCTTTTTGCTGAATTTGCTGAGAAGTCTGGTCCAGAGGTCAGGCCGACTCTGGAATCTCAGTCGAGATGGTGTTTATTATTTTATGCTTTACAGGCACTGTTTTTATTTTCCTCCTCTAGATTGAAACCAAGGTTGTAGCCGCTGCCCTACATGCTATCCCAACTCCAAGAATTATAGACCTTGCCAGTCCAAGAATCAAGATAGAGGGTCTGTGCTATCCAAAAGAAGGAACTGACATGCCCATCCGTCGCGTAAGCCATCACTGCCTTGGCATCCTTCAGCTCACTTTCTGGTGGATCCTATGGTGCTATTTCCCCCCTCCATGGCACTGGCCAAAGCCATTGCTAAAGGGAACCTTGAAAGAGAAGTCTGTGGCAGGAAAATCTACCTGCCAGATATGGAGAGGGCCTGGGGGGTTGCGGGGAGGGTAAAGGGTGGCGAGCCTGAGCTTTGGAGCCAGGAAGAGATCCGTTCAAATTACAGCCTTGCCACTCTAGCTCTATGATGTTGTGACAAGCTCCCTGAGCCTTGCTCATTCAAGTATTTGAATGCCTACTGTGTGCCAGATACTGTTCCCAGATGGAGAGAAACAAACAAACAAACAAACAAAGAAAAAATAGGTAAACAAATAAGATAAGGTTGGATAGTGAAAAGTGCAATGGAAGAAATAAAGTAGGAAATGAATGCTTATGGGGACAAGCTGCTTTGCAGATGGGAGTCACGGAAAGGCTCTCTGAGGAAGGTGTATTTGAGCTGAAACCTGAAGGATGAGATGGCGTTTGCTGAGTGAAGATCCGAAAAGAGAACATTTTAGGAAAGGGAAGAGTACTAAAGCTGGGTCCCAACGCTGGGATGACCTTGAAGCTGGGTGCAGCAAAAGGAACAAGGGGACAGGAGAGATAACAGTTCCATTTGGACGATTGCTTAACGACCTGCAAACGTAGAGACAGCCCCCGAGCTCAGCACGGAGCCTGGCACGCCCAGGGTTTACCCTGCTCTTCCTCCTGGACACTCTTCTCCATTCATTGCAGTGGCAACTTGGTGCCCAATCCCAGTCGAGTTTTCAATAAATACCTATCCAAGGGTGTGGGGCCAATTTCACCCTCTTTCTCAGAATCTGAGGATTTGCTATGAAATTCTATTTGGGGAAACAAACGAATCTGGGAATTAAAAACCCTTGGGAGAATGTCTTAAGTTTGCTAATGTGACCTTCTGACCCTCAGGCAAATCACTTTATGCTCAGTTTTGAAGGTGTAAAATGAGATGTATAGGCATCTTTAATTGCTAGAACTGTTGGAAGGAGTATTAAAATCTTTTTAGGAAGTGATGCTACTGCAGACAATCGTACACGTAGAACCCAAAACAAACATGTCCCACTGCAACATAGAACACTTTCCGGGGACTGAGCGGTGTTTGCTGTCCATCCCAGTTCTTTTCAATGAGCACTTAAGAGATTCTATAACATTCTTCCTATTTTACCGATAAAGCAACATAATAAGAAGGCAACCTGGCAAATGGGACTTCCAAAGTAAGACCAGAGGGAATCGGTTCAGCACCAATTTAGGCACCAAAGCCTATTCCAGCTTTCGACAAACATGTATAGTAAGTTCTCACTTATCATTTTGACAGTTTCTGTGACCTTAAGCAAAATGACATACAACCACACCAATTTTACCACAGGCTAATTGGCATAAACAAGAGGTAACTTCCTAGGCCTGTCATCAATGCTATGATGAAACATTATTTGAGAACCTGCTGTACGGCTCTGAAGCAGCTTGTATTCTAAGGGAACACAGCACACAATGAGCACGTCCACGAGATAAGTGAACTAAGTCAGGTGTTGGTGAGTGCTGTGAGGAAAATTAGCACTGGGGAAGAGGGTAATGAGTAAGACTGATTTATTTGTATGGCGAGGGAAGAAGTCCTAACCATACATGTTTGAGTCAGAGACTTGAGTGATGAAGAGGCAGCCATGACAAGATTGAGGAAAGAGGAATTCAAGCAGAACCATCAAGTGCAAAGGCCCTGAGGCAGAAAGGGCTAGGCCGGAGGGGCCTTGTGTAATCATGGGAGGGGCCTCATAATAATCAGGAGTGGGGTCGCAGCCCGTCTGCTAGGGCCTTCTAGGCTATAGGAAGGAGCCCAAATATTTTTTAGCAAAATGGAGACCCACTAGAGGTTTTCAATCCCGGAAGTGGCATGATCTGACTTGAGCTTCAGAAAGTACTTACCTCATGGAGTTGTTGAGATGACTGAGTAGCAATGGCATAGGTCAATGACTGAGAACACCGTCTGGCTCCTTGGAATGCACTCATGAAAACGTTCATTCTCTCCTCAATAACTGCCATGTGGATGCTGGATTGTCCAGGGGTAAGAATGAAAGCAGGGAAACCGGTGAGGAACCCAGGAAGGAAATGGTGGTGACTGTATCAGGGATATAGTTGTAAGGGGGATATGTGGTAAGTTTGGGAATATATTTTTGTGTTTTTTTGTTTCCACTGTAGGTAACCCAAGCTGCCTTACTAAACACACCTAGCCCTCGAACAGTATCTCTAGCTAAGGCCAAACCTCTTCACCAAGATTATTTACCTGACCGTGATCCCTATTGGCCAGTCTCTTACGCTGCTGCACATTTCAAAATATCTCCCAGAATTGAAGCACTATCTCATCCAAGTGCAAGGTATGTCAACTTAAGGCTAAGAGGGGACAGAAAAGGAATAGAACTGTAGAAATGTGAAAATTTTATTTTTTAATTTCAGAGAGGAAGGGAGTGGGAGAGAGAAACATCAATGATGACAGAGAATCATCGATCAGCTGCCTCCTGCACATCCCACACTGAGGATTGAGCCCACAACCCAGACATGGGTTTGTGCCCTGACTAGGAATCAAACTGTGACCTGCTGGTTTATAGGTTGGCGTTCAACCACTGAGCCACCCCACTGGGCTGAGAAAAATTTAAAAACATCTCACTTATTTGTTACATTTACTGTGGCAAACCTGTGGTCTTCTTACCATAAATGTAAGGCTATAGTAAAAAGGTGGGCTAGTATTGCAGCATAGATCTAAGAGACAACTCTGTAACTATGGATATGGGTTTATTTATCTAACACATGTTGTCAAAGTGAAACAAATACAAAAACAGAGTACATAGTATGTTACAGTTTTGTGCAAGGAAATATACACGTGGGCCATATTTTTGCTTGCAGATGCCTACAATATCTCAGAAGGGTAGTAAGGAGGTAGAACAACGGTTATTTGGGGGGATCTGAGGATCTGGGACGGGAGGAAGAATTATTTTTCATTAAATAAACTTCTGTATTTTTCATTGCTTCTATACCATGTACATATATGACCTATTCTATATGATAAAGATGTATGGTCGTTATGCCTCAGGGTGTAATGGATCAGCAAGAGGATGGGGCAGTGAGCTACAAGTGGACCTCGGAGAGTAGGAGGGGGCAGAGGAAGCCACAGGGGGGGGGGGGAGGTGGGACAGCGAGCTACTGGTGCACGGATTTGTGCTCAGGGCAAATAAATGAGAAAACACTTCAACAAAGAAGAAATCTTCTCTAATTCCAGTTTATTTTTATTTTTAATGCATTTTTATTGATTTCAGAGTGGAAGGTAGAGAGAGATAGAAACTTCAATGATGAAAGAGCATCATTGATCAGCTGCCTTCTGCATGTCCCACATTGGGGATAGAGACCCCAACTCAGGCATGTACTCTGACTGGGTATTGAACCATGACCTCCATGATTCAAACACTGAGCCATGCTGACTGAGCCCTGTTCATTTTTCAGAAGACCTCTAACTTGCCTGAACCTCAATTCACTTTGTTGCATTCAAGTGATAATACTTGATCTCTTTTTTAAGCATTGTCAGGAAAATCTGGAGGCACTGAAGAAAGCTGTAGAACTGCTGAACCCAGGGAACAGGAAATAAGTTAGTTTTTATCTATACTAATAAAAGGGTAATATGCTAATTAGACCGGATAGACCAAACATCTTCCTGGCGTCCATCTGGACAAAGCCACATGGTGAGGGCTGAGGCAGAGGGAGGTAGGGGTGACCAAGCCGGCAGGGGAGAGCAGTTAGTGGCATCAGGCAGGCAGGCAGGCAGCCAAGTGGTTAGGAGCCAGGGGTCCTGGATTTCGAGAAGGATGTAGCAGTCGGACATCCCCAGATGGGTCCCAGATTACAGGAGGGTGCAGGCCGGGCTGAGTGTCCTCCTCTTGCCCTGGCATGAATTTTGTGCACCGGGCCTCTAATATAACATAATATTTTAAATTTTTATAAGGTGCTTTGCCTTAAAAAATAAAGTTCAACACCAAATGGAGTGAAGCTTATTCCCTGCTCCTTGACAAAGGGAAGGGAGGAGTTAGACCAAGTGCTCTAGGTCCCTTCTCTAAAGTTATTGCTCGGTGGGAAGGTGCAAAGGGCGGAAACCTCAAAGTGTTGACTTAAGCCCACCGGAGGACTGTTGGCTTGTTTTAACATTGCCAAATTGTTAAGAAGTTTCCAGAATTTACCTTTTTTTTGGGAAGAGCAAAGGCTTTGGAATCTGACCAGTACACTGATCTGGATTTGACTGCAGATCATTCTCACACAACTTCCCCAAGCCTTCACTGCCTCACCTGTGGAGTCGGGAGGTCACGATGCCTGTGTCACGGGAGGCTTATGCACATCCAAACGGGGTTGCATCCCCATGCCAAGCACAGAGGGGATGTGTGAGAAATGTTAGCGCCACTTCCTGTTGCCTCAGGTTGGGTTCTTTCTCCCCCGTTCCAGGGCTCCCATGCACATTGTGTACTACGACCCAGCGGTCTTCAAAGTCAAGCCAGCTGCTCTGAAAGCACAATGTTCTCCGAGGGTCCAGGAGTTGGCCGCACCTCTTACCCGTTAACCATGGACACCGACACCTCCCCCTCTCTAGCTGTGTCTCTAGAAGACGTTAGATGACTTAGTCCTCTCCTCTGGTACTATCCGTCTGTAGTCACCCCACAACCTCAAACACATACAAGACCTCCAGGGAACACCGCATGGACCATCAAGGAGCACCTGCTGCTGGGGCCTGGGAACCCTGTCACGCAGGTTTGGGGACTCCCGCCATGGAAGAGACAGCCCGCCTTACCCTTACCACCTTCTTACGGCATCCTGGCTGTCACGCTGTGGTGGCTGGCCTGAGGAAACACCCTGCCTTCCATTGGCCGGTGTTGCTCTCCTCGTCCCAGGGAGAACCCCATTCCCCAGGAGCTGACCTCACCCAGGTCCCTCCTCTCTTAGTGAGTCCTAAGAATTGAAAACAGTCTGTGTTACTTGTCCAACCTCCTCTCATTTCTGAGAAATAAACCACTGAAATAGTGGAGCCTCTTGTGAAGACGTCTCAATGCTTTGGTATAATCTGTAGATGAAATTGAGGGAACGGGTTACCTTACAGTCAGGGATGGGAAACCTTTTCTCCTGCTAAAGGCCATTTGGATATTTATAACATCGTTTGTGGGTCATGCAACCTTATCAACTTAAAAATTAGCCTGCTGTAGTCAAGCATTTCATTAACTCACCCCTAATGCCTTGGCAGGGCCAGACCAAATGATTTCTCGGCCTCTCTTGGCCAGTCCTTCCCCCTCCCCTGCTAAATGATCACACCTCCACCAAGTTCCATTTGTTGGCTCATGCTTTATCATAAACCACAGGAAAAGTGTTATCATTCTCTGTCAAAAAACCCAGAGGTTTTTATTTATTTATTATTATTAGTTTATTTTATTCTCTCCATGGATCAGTATTTTACAAATTAAACTAACTTTTATGACATACTGGTATCTGGATTTACATGAAAATGAACTTACTTGAAAATGAATTTTGCAGATGAATGAGCTCTGTCTCTAAGGCTTTTGTGTTAAGGAGATTACTAGTGTTATGGCAAGGCAATACTATATAGTTTCGAAATCGACTTTTGGAATCAGGCAGACCTGGGTTTGTATTCCCCATGGATCATTTACCAGAGATGTGGTTTTTGAACAAATTCCTTAACTCCTTGTGCTTCACTTTCTTTACATATCAAGTGAGTTCCTACTGCATTATTATAGATTAAAATTTAATCTAGCCGGAACCGGTTTGGCTCAGTGGTAGAGCGTTGGTCTGCGGACTGAAAGGTCCCAGATTCGATTCCGGTCAGGGGCATGTACGTTGGTTGCGGGCACATCCCCGGTAGCGGGTGTGCAAGAGGCAGCTCGTCGATGTTTTTCTCTCATCGACATTTCTAGCTCTCTATCTCTCGCCCTTCCTTTCTGTAAAAAATCAATAAAATATATTTTTTAAAAAAGATTTAATCTGTACATTATTGTATAGATTAAATTAAATGTAAGAACATTATCTACTAAATTATGAATAGAAAAAAAAACTGTTAAAAATGTAGCTGCATTTGCCTTCTAAGGAGGGAATGGCATAATTTATTTTCCTGGGAAAACAAATCTCTTCATGGCTTGATTCAAACATTAAATAAATGCTTGTTGAGCATCTTTGCTTTGTCAGGTACTGTGCTGGGCACCGGAGATACCACAGCGAGCCAAACAAACATGGGCTCAGCTTTCATGGACTATTTAGACAATTGGGAGTGACGTATGTAATTCAAACAATAACAGATACATGTAAAATCGCTGCAGTGGCCCGCGCTATAAAGGAGAATTTATAGTATTAGGAAAGGACAGAGTAGAGGCCTTCTACTCCTATGGGAAGACGAGAGAAAGCATCTTTCATGAAGGGACAGTTGGGCTGGAATCTAAAAATGGAGTGGGTTTAACTAACCAAAGAAGGGCAGGGAGTCAGTCCAGGTAGTGGGAGCGTGTGTTTAGTGGACAATTTGCTGATATAACAATGGACACCTACACCTCCCCCTCTCTAGCTGTGTCTCTAGAAGACGTTAGATGACTTAGTCCTCTCCTCTGGTACTATCCGTCTGTAGTCACCCCACAACCTCAAACACATACAAGACCTCCAGGGAACACCGCATGGACCATCAAGGAGCACCTGCTGCTGGGGCCTGGGAACCCTGTCACGCAGGTTTGGGGACTCCCGCCATGGAAGAGACAGCCCGCCTTACCCTTACCACCTTCTTACGGCATCCTGGCTGTCACGCTGTGGTGTCATGAATGGGCCCACCCCCCCATTCATTTCTCCTCTTTCTGCTAAGAAATCCCATTTTCATTTTGGGAAGTTACTTTCTCTTCATTGTTTAATGCTTTATTGAGACTTTTGTTTAAGGTGTTCTGGCTAAGGGATGGGCATATGACCCAAGACAGCCAGGCCTTTTGAACTGTCCCCCAGGGCTCAGGGTCTTAAGCAGCATGGCACCAGGGGCAGGGTGTGGTGGGAGCTGATGTTACCCAGTAGTGGTGCCCATATGGCTCCTACTACCTGTGTCCACGGAGCTGCCCACAGTCTTCCAGTAAATCGCCGGTGACAGGTGAGCGGATGTGCCGGAGACTGGGACAAGATGGACTGTGTGACTCAAACTGGAAGACAAAAGGGCTTGTGTGATGCAGGAGGCGGCAGAGGGATGGGAGCCAGACCAGGAGAGGCCCTTGAGGCCACTTTAAAGATTTTAGCCTGTATCTTAAAACCACTGTGAGTCCTCGATGTAATTATAGGGATGAGGTGATCAGGGTTGCCTTTTGAAAAAACTGCTTTGACAAATAATTGGGAAGGAGGCAGTGGAGGTAGGTGAACCAAATTAGGAGGCTATTTAGCAGGTCAGTGAAAGGTGAAGGCACCAGGGTGCCGACGGAGAAATATGTGGGAGGGGAAACATTTACAGGATTTGGTGATGGATTGGAGAGATAATTCCCGACTTCTAGCTTATGAAACAGGATTGGCTTTGCGTGCTTGAATATATCAATGGACAGTGGCCAGGCCACACGTGACAGTAGAACCTGGATTCGGTCGATGGAAGGGAAATGGTAACATATCCATCTTTGAATGGCTTACCACTGCTCCCATGGGAAGGAGGACATAGGGGTGGGTGAGGGAGAACAGCAGGAAGTTCTTCTCTGGAAAATTCTTCCTCAGCCCGTGAAGCAGGAGCCCGGAAATAAACGTTTGTCTCTAACATCTGCCTCATTGGGTTCTGGCCCTGCACTCAGCACCATATCCAGTGCACAGGAGTGGGCTCTGTCTTCTGCTCCCTGTTAGTGATAGCAAGGAGCTTTCAGCCCGTCTGGGTAATGGAGTTTGTTTCCTCTGGTGACTCCATTCCTCCTCCCAGTGAAAGCACAATTCTATCAGGAGGGGGAGTCTACGTCCCACACTCCTAGAGTCTGGGCTGGCCTGCCACTTGCTTAGACCAGTGGTCAGCAAACTCATTAGTCAACAGAGCCAAATATCCACAGTACAACAATTGACATTTCTTTTGAGAGCCAAATTTTTTAAACTTCTTCTAATGCCACGTCTTCAAAATAAACTCACCCAAGGCATGGTATTTTGTGGAAGAGCCACACTCAAGGGGCCAAAGAGCCGCATGTGGCTCGAGAGCCGTGGTTTGCCGACCACTGGCTTAGGCCAAGGGAACGAAGCAGAAGAGACATTGTCTGACCTCCAAGCCCAGGCCTCAGGAAGCCTTGTGCTTCTGCTCCGCCTGCTTGGAACCTGCTATGGGGAAGAAACCCACCCTCCTCCAGAGACCACGGGGAGAGGGGCCCAGGCCTCCAGACCTCGCCTCTGCGCCCAGCTCCAGCTCCCCCTCTGCTAAATGGCAATTCTGTGGGTTAGCGGGGCCGTTCTGCAGGCCTTGCGCTCTCTGTCACGTGGCTGCAGAGGAACATGGTATTGTGTAAGCAACTAGGTTTTGGGTTGGCTTGTTACCTAGCCAGAGTTCACAGAATCAGTACTCAGCCGGTGGGACAACAGACGGAGGGGCAAAGAGGGCATCAAGGGTTCTGACGTCAGCTGGCTGATTTCTGCGGGCGAGTGAACATGTGCCTGGGTTGGTCTGCTACATGAGCAGGCAAATACTCCTCCCTCCAGTAGGTGTCTCACGCCCTTTCATCAACTTGTGTGAACCAACCCACAGCAGACCTAAACCTAAGTGCCCCACGGTTGGCCAATAAGAGCCCGCGCGAGTTGAGGCACAGCGTCTGTTGTCAGAGGGTTTTGCTTCCTAAGGACCTACCTGAAGAGGGCCTGGCCCGTGGCGGCAGGGCATGCCGCACGCAGTAAGAGAGGGAGCCTGAAGACACACGCTCTTTCATACTTTGTATTGTTTTTCGTTTCCAATGGGAAGGGCTGCCAGAAGGCAAACCTTCCCCACCCACAGCCGCGTGCATCTGCCTGCCTGCCCGCCCTTGGCTGCCAGGGTGTGGTCTGCTAGGTCTTCCAGAGGGTTGGGCATCCTGGGTTGAATTGCAAAACAGAGCAGGCAGGCAGAAGGCTGGGGATGGAGAAAGGTGGCTGAGGGGGCAGGGGGAGCAGGAGGAAGCAGAAGATCTGTGTGTGAAGTGAGGAGGGAAGTCACCCTGAGGAATGAGGGAGATAGGGGTTGTGAGCAGGCAGCTGCTCTGGGGAAAAGGCAAGTGGGGCTGGGGCCAGGCCGGTGGGCACGAAAGGAGAGCACTAGCAGCCACCAGGTCACGTACCTCTTTCCACGCCTTGATCCAAGGGGTCAGGAGTGCCCTGTGGCTCAGAGAGTTTGAAAGCGCCGCAGCCCTGGCTTCAGTGGCCTAGGGCAGGGGACCATTCCAAGGTTCAGCTTCTCTGGGATTGTTACCACATGGCTGACCATTGGTGGAGAAAGAATAAATGACTGTATTGTATGACTTCAAGTGGCTCCGTTGGTTGAGCATCATCCCGTGCACTGAAAGGTCGCTGGTTTGATTCCCAGCAAGGGCACATGACCAAGTTTCAGGTTTGATC